CCGTGTCTGTTACTAAGTTGTGACAGGCTAGACTGTTGTAAAGCAAGGTACTTTGCATAATTAGTATGAAGACATATGAACAGATGAGCACTAATTCTTCGAAGTTAATGATTGTCAATTATCTTCCTTTTTTTTTTTTGATCTAGTCCAAGATTAGCATAATGTCAAGTACCTCGACGTATAGTTTCTTAATTGGCCCAAACACACTTTATTGCCAGATGCCACCCCAAAATGTGGCTTTGCCTTCTGACCTGCTTTCATCAGCAGTCACATCAGCTTGATGATGTTTGAAAGCTTTTTTTTTTTTTTTTTTTTTTTTTTTTTGGGTGTGGTGGCAACTGTCACTAATTGTCTCTCCAAGTGCAAAGGGCTCACTGCTGACTTCTTCAGAGGTTACCACTTCACCTTAGCTGGCTTTTTTTTTTTTTTTTTTTTTTTAATTCCTGGGCTAGAGTTTGTTTGGATCTGTAAGCTGATCTGACTTGACACATGGCTTCGAGATTGTTAGTGCAGATCCAAAGGCAGTGAGAAGGGCCAGACAGCCCCTTGCAGCACAGTGGGCTCTTAGACTGGCTTAAGCCAATGTGGAAATTGTATCTTCTGTTCAAAATTGCATGTTGGAAAAATTCTCACTTCACCACTTCAAGTCCTTACTACTTCTAAAGGAGCTTGGTTGTAGTTACCTCATTGGATGTGGTTGGAATACACCTAGGTTAAGTAACTTGAAGCTCATGTCTTGTCCAAGTCTCATTGAAGTCCACTGAAGAAATTTGGGATTTCCTTAGAAAGGCTTCATGTAGCTGTGTTTTTGAACACACCCAATGCTGGTTTGTCGAGTTCAAGCTACTGTAAAATTTAGTTGTAGTTATGTATGTGGATAGATCCAGAGCCACGTCTTCCAGTAAAGCATCCTGAAGCCCAGAGGGTTGCACCATTGTGTGGAGGTCGTTCTTCGTTGTTTCTGTTTGAAATTGTGTTACTGTGGTAAAATGAAAAGGATTAAAAAGTCAGTACCCTTGCAAGGGCGCTTGTTTTGGAGGTGGGAAAAGTAATGGAATTTTGTTCCCAGGATGGTTTCTTTGTTTTTGTCAGATGATTGTTTAATGTGAAATGGAAGAAAATGCCATTTTTTTTCTCTGACTTTATACAGAGTTTAGCCTGTATTGTTTAAAAGCATGTAGTAAGAATTCTAATTATCCTCTTCAGTATTTCTGAAGAATGTCGTTCTTCAGACACAGAAGTCTTCTGTTTTTAATGTCAGCCTTTGAATGTAATGATTTATACATGCTTGAAATGTAGTTGGAAATATTTCTGTGAAGATTTTTCAAAGATTTCTTTCATAAAAACCACTTCTTTAAGGCAAGAAAAAATATTCTGTTGAAGGCTGTTTAATATTAAGATTGAAATGAACATCTTTATGGTCATACATCTCATTATGAAATAATGAACATACAGTTTGCCCTGTGCTTTTTGCAATTATGTCAGGACTGTCTCCTGAAGGAAATATGTCTCTGACATTCAGCTTTGCTTGGCAGAAATTTCTTAGCAGCTTAAACTGAGGATTTTATATATTTTAAGGAGTGCACTAAAGTTATATCTATTAAAAATACTGAAACTAATTCTAAGAGAGTAAAATTCCTAACCTTAAATCAAGACTTGAGGGGGAAAAAAATGCCCAACCCAGAACAAACATGCAAGTACTTTCCTCCTCCAGTTTGTCTCCTACCTGCCCCCTGCCCCTTCCAATTTACTTGAACAGATCAAAAAATGCTTTCATGGAGTTCAAGAATACAAAAACATTGTGTATTTTCCTTTGCTCTGCTCTGGTCCCAGTGCACAGGCTCATTACTCCAATTCTTCTTTTCACGTGGTAAGTGTATTTGATCAGGTCTCCCTTTTGTCAAAGTTGTTAGTGTGAAGGTAAAATTTGAAGATCTTAGGAATAGCTTACCTTGTATCATATAGTAATATTTTATAATAAATGGGTGTATCTTCCCCCAGGAGTTGCTTAGGACTTTCCATACTTGTACTTTGTCAAATGTAGTTATAACCCTCTTTTCTTCTTTTGAAAATGATCAGTATAGGGGAAAAATTAATAGCAAAATCAAGGTATATGTTTATGCTGTATTTATAATGCATAAGAGGTTTTAAAAATATTTTACAATCCAGACAAACCCGTCTTTGGCTGGGAAACTACTTAAATTTGCCTTGAGAGTAAAAGCTGAATGTGAGTAGTAGAGGGATTTTTGCATCTTGTTTCTGAGAGGAGTTTAATGACAATCTACCTCTTGAACCTTTGGTTTGGAAGTATTCATAATATTTTTTTTCTGATGACAGTTTCTTTTCTCACTCTGAGCAGAAGCAAGAAGATGTATCCTCTGATATGGTAAATGTTTTATTAAAAGTCAGTTTGGAAGCTGCTTATTGCCACTGCAGAAGTCCTTGGGCGTTCTTTCTCACGGTCCTCAATCTGTCCTTCAAAAAGCCTTGGGAAGGAAGGGTTTCTTTTAAACAGTCCTTTGCAGAGAAGTTGCAAAGCATTTTTGTTTTCATGCAGGGTTTGCCTGTACATAAAGTTGCTTCCATTTTCTTGTGTTTATTGAGACTTTAGCAATTCTGCTTGCCTGCAGCTAGTCCCTTAAATAATTGTAGCCTTGTTTGCATATTAACAAATGAAGTTAGTCAAATTTGTTTGTACCCATAGTGAATAGTCCAGCATTTTTTCCTACTCTTGATCTTGTGACATGGGAAGTATAAAAATGCAATCCCTGTATAGCTTGCCATAGTGGATCTTCACTCGCCTAGCTAGTCTGGGGTCCTGTTTAATGGTGGGATGAAAATCTTCCTGAACAAGATACGAAACTTTAAGATTGGGTAGCTGTGAGATTAAATTTGAAGTTAAGTTTTAAAGAACTAAAAATTAGAAGTTGCTAAAATGTGCAGCATAAAGTTCAGTGTTTCTTTCATGGACTTCATAGCATCACCTACATGAACAACAACATCTTATAGTAACCAATTAAGTGTCTTTTTGCTTTCATCATTCGCTTCAATTTCTGTATCTCACAATGGATCAAGATATCTACTCATCCATACAGTGTATAATATGAATTGGAAAGTTTTGGGGAAAAAAATAATTCAGGGATTCAGATGTCAAATAGGCAGCCTAAAATTGGGAAAAAAATGAAACTGGAGTGTTTTGCACTGATTTGTATTTCCTATGAAAATATTTTCAAATGTAGTCTGTCTCCTGTTGTGAATATTTGAATTGCACTTACATTAGCTATAATGTACATCTTTTGTGTTTGTTCTGTCTTTCAGACAAAGTATAGCATGATATTTGTAGTATCACTGGAAAGATCTATTTGCTTTTTTCTTGGTTTATGTAACTCTGAATATAAGAATTCTTGTTTATTTGAACAAATCATAAATTTAGCTCTGTTACAGTGTTGCTGTAAGAGACATTTGTTTCCTAGAGCTGAACAGCTCATAGTTATATAAACAAGACTGTGAACAAGAAAATGTATTCAGTAATATCAGCAATGAAATTTCTTGCCCTCTGTCTGTATGAAAACAAGCTCACAAAATGCCATGAATCACAGATTATGTTGCTTTCTGTGTGGCTATTGTAGCTGATTTTTTTGTCTGGCTTAAAGATACATGTTGGACTAAATTAAAATTTATATAATAAACAGTTAATTTTGATTGTGAAGATCTTGGCAAGACTTGATAGTGTTTTGTTTCTTTTTAATGTAGATTATCAAAGATTTTACTTTAGGTTTATATTTTTCCCTTACTGTTCATTTTAGAAAAAAATGCATAGTTTTAATACAGAAGCAATGAGAAAAGTGACATGCACTTTATGGAAATGGTCTAGATATTTCTTTGGGTATGGAGGGGAAGAAGCTCCTACTTTTATCGTTGGCTTTAAATATTATTCATTTAGAGTTGATTTGAGCTGTGGTTTACTTTCTGACTGGGAACCCAGTAGTGTAAGTTCAATTTGTTTATTTGTCTTGCAGAAAAAAAATTGTTCTTAACGAGAACTTTTCTGGAATCTTTTGGAATTCAGCTTTTATAATGCTAAATTAGAGTATTGGCTATATATTTTTCCATTATGGACTAGGTAAAACTCCACAAAGCAATGCCAGATGCAAGGAAGAACTGAAATACCTCAAGCCTTAATTATAAGAGAAGATCTGGTCAGGGGCACCTATCTCACAGCGCTCACTAAAATTGCTTTGTCTTTTCTGTCTGAAAGTTCTCTCGGTTCTGCATTTCTGCTTATGTATGTGCTTGTAATAATGACAGGGTCACCGGTTTGAGTATTCATGATACTGATAAGCAAAAGCTTATCACTGGGGCACCACAGATAGCATGACACTGATGCTTTATTAACTGAAGACATGGATGAGAACCTGCAGGTTTGCGAGTAAAGACAGAGTTCTCTATGCCTTTCCCCCTTCTCCCCTATACTTTGATTTGTAGGAGGTCTGGGCTGTGTCTGTATTGTGTAGTTAAACAGGATGGAAGTACTTTCATGGTGCTGGAGGTGCTGAAACTCATCTTTTGCAAACTCCTCTTGTGGAGTAGGAGCTGCTGCAGTCCCTTCCATTGTCAGCTTTCTGCCTGGTCATCACCTGCCTCATGTTGCTTTGCTCTCTGTTTCTCTGGTAGAGAAAGAAGGGTTGCTGGCTTGGCAAGAGGAAACTTGAACACAATTTTTTGCTAGAGGTTATTAGAGATTAATAGGGCACTTGGTTAGAATGGATGGGTAGGGCTTCTAGTCTTCTCTCACAGGGCTATGTATTTCATCTTTTAGTAGGCAAAAATAAATAATCTGGAGTTTGAGATCTAAATATATTTCAAACAAAAGATAGCCAAGCTGAAGTGTGTCCACTTAATTTTATAGTAAAAAAAACTTGCTAGGTCAACTCTTTAGTCTATGCAATTTGAACAATTTAAAGCACTGACTTTAAAGATGAATTCTCATTGTTTTGCAGCTGCAGCCGCCTTCGGAACATTCAGAGTATCCTGACACAGAGCAGCAAATCTCAACCCGATGGAATCCTTTGCATTTTAGGTTAGTTTTTACTTCATCCACCTCCCTTTGTTCTCATTGTACTGATAAAGATACCATGAGTTGCAGAAAGATGAAGATTTTCTCTTTCCTGCCCCAAGCCCCAGTGTTGTTTCTCAGTGAATGGACAGCTATTTGTTTGTTACACAATTTTCTCTGTAAATAATTCCTAAGCCTGTTTACTAATTTCAGGCAAACTGATTACAATAGCAATAATATCAACATTCTTGCAAGTGTTATGAACATTCAGTGGCTAGAGGGAAAAGAGAATCTTTGTTAATGTCCAAACTGAAGGAAATATGAAGAGAATTTAATCTATTTCTATTTGGGGTAAACATTCAGCTGTCTCAGCAGTGTTTGTTTTCCAGCTGGTGTTTGGCATAAAAGCTGAAGGCGCATGCGTTGCAACTGATTTCCCAATGAACGTGGGGAAGTGGAAGGGATTAGAAGGTGCTGAGGTTAAGGGAGTGGAGAAGAGCAGAGGAGCACCAAGGTTAGGGATCATGATATGCAGAGCTATGGAGGCGGGTGGTTGAAAACAGGCTTGGCTTATAAGAGATGCAGGGGGGGGAATAATCAGGGAACTGACAGAATTAATAAAACCTGTGTTTAGGGGGAGGGAGGTCTTGCCTCAGGAGAATTAATTCAGAATGCATTTAAAGAGTCACATGAGAAATCCATGAAGCAGTTATGAGATAAATGGTGGCATATAAATAGCCTGTGGTTTTCTTTTCTCTGAGGTTGGGAGAAAAGGATGATAAGATATAAAGCTACGTATGCAAGTGTGCTTTAGGAAAGTAACAGTTTTTTTGTACAGCTTTAGGATTTCTGTGTGTAACGTTGACTCTTGTTTCTGATTATATAATCAGCATCAAGGTATTAAAAGGAGGAAGTCAGAAATGATGATTGAAATTCCTTAGAGAGTACGACTTAGGAATGATTGTTTAAATAAGGTATTACAGTTAAAGATGGAGACATCTAATGTAGCCTGAAAGAAGGTATGTTTAGTAACAGGCTTGCATGAAGAAATGGTACAACAGCCTACCTTTTTTAGTTGTTGGTTTTTTTTTTTTTTAAATGATGTAGCAAGCTCATTTACTGAATCACAAAAAAGTTTAAAATGTGTACAGTCTAATTCTCTTTCAGTCAATACTAACTGCCTAATGTGAGTCTTCCTGTTGCACATGCTCTAGGGTAAGAGTTTTAAGTCATCTTTGACTAAGTAGTAACTTTACAGCTAGGAAGTCTGTAACATGACTGTGTCAACCTTCCAATGAAGCTTAATCATACAGGATAAGTATTTGTTTTTTGCCCTTGAGCTAGTCTGATTTCATAAAACATATCAAGTTGTGCTGTCTCACCATTGACACGGTGGTATTTCTTGACTAGTGTTAACTCAGAAGCTACAGTAAGTCCCAAGCAAAGAATAGTCACTCAAAACATTGTATGGCTTTAGGGAAAGCACTACAGGCAAAAGGAATTGTTTTGTGTAATCCTCAGTGTAATGTGGAGTATTTAAGTCCATGCATAAGACCATACCTTTTAATAAATAAGCATTTCTGTTATGGAAATATAGGAAGTGTGCTTTGTGATTAGACCTGTGCTTTGCACTAATCTCTTTCAGTCCCCACAATGGAACTGTTGTTGTCTTTAATCCAACCTGTCCAATGTAGCCTGCCAAATTTCTTGCATAACTTCTAATTAAGCAGCCATGTTACTCTGTTATAAATGCATTAAATCTGTCTTCAGATACAAGGTTCAGATGACAAAAAATGTGTAGTCTTACATTTTGAGTCCCATTGACTTGTTTGGAAAGCATATACTCTTATAACTACTGACTATTTTGTGGTTTGTTTTTTTTTTTTTTTTACAGTCAGTGCATGTTATATTTCACTTGGCTGTCTTTAATGCCCTATAATTAATGCATTTCCTTCACCCTAAGTTTAATTTTACGTACTGGGTTGTGAGATAAAAACGATATGAACTTTCATAGCTTCACTTCAAGTAGGTTAATATTTATACTGAAATTAAAAACAGCATTGTAAGATTCCAAAGAGAGATGAGAACTGACCAATTATTGATATAATTATTTAAATGTAGTTACAGCTGATTTTTTTTATTTTTTTAAAGAATCCTGTCATCTTATTTCAAAGTGGTTAAATGGTAGCATTCCTGCATTCTTTTTTGGGGAGAAAAAACATCGCAACTGGTAGGAAGAAGGAATTTGGAGGTTGGCATGTCAGACATCTTTAAAAAGCTGTGATGTCTTAGCTGGAGTGTGTTGCTAAGAAAGCAATGTATCAAACTACTTAAATTATACTCTATGTTTTTAAGTATGGTGTTTCTTGCATCTTACCTTTCAACAGAGATTTTTGGCTCACTGTTAATTTGATCTGATTTCTGAGGATTTTTATTTAGTTTCAGTATGTTATAGCTATAAAATCACTGTTAATTTGATCTGATTTCTGAGGATTTTTATTTAGCTATAAATCTGATTGTGGTTATAGCTGTTCCGATAAGAGATCAAACTGTTTTGTTGTTCAGCATAGCTAAGCTAGATTTTTACAGACTTTGATATTTACTCCTCCCTGAAGAGGACAGGAATACTTCAGAAGCTGTGTCAGTAAACCTTTAAGTTTATTTTACCTTGGATTTTTATGTCCATCTTAAGCAGAGCTTTTGCTCTTAGGGCATGGGAGAAACCTCACCAGTTTTTAGTACATTGGGCTGATTGTTCATCCCATTCCCTTTCCCAGTAGCAACTATTTTAATCATCATTGTGCTACTTCTCTTAGGTGGCAGTTCCACAGCTTCATGATGGTTTTGGGCAGTTGTCTAAAGGTGTCCATTCTCTCCAGCCTCATGTTCCTGCCACCTCCCTGGTGTCCCTAGAGCTCACGTGGCTGTTCAGTGTGTTATGGAACAGCTATTCTTTGTTTTGATACTCAAGGGTGTGTCAAAAATGCATGGCTGGGACAAAGAAAGCAGGGCTTCTTTTACCTCTACGTTATGTTTATTTCATCTTAGCAACTGTGAAATCGCAGATATGAGAGATGGCTGAGCTGAATGCGTTTTGCAGCACAAAAGGGGTGTCTCAGCCTGCCCTGGAGTGCTCCTTTTACCTTTCCTCTGTTTCCTCCCCATGTGCATTTTGCATCAGTGCTGGTGGTTGGTTGATGTCTTGCACCCTGTTCATCTTACTGAGCAGACGCTTTATTTTTTTTTTCCAACCACTGTATTTTGCCAGACAAGTTTTCTGCCGGTTTCGCAAACTGAATCAGCTCGCTGAGGTCAGATGAGCCCTAACTGCAGGAGAAGAAGCATGAATGGCTCCTTGGGCAGCAGCAGGCTATTAGACTGAGTCATTGTCTAACTACACCCTTGTGATGAGTTTGGAACAGGCCAGGAGTTACTAAACTCCCGGCTCAGCTGGAGACAGGCGTGGGGGTTTCCTAATTAACAGCCTTCCCCATTGTTCTGTTGAGGACTCCTAATATGCTTGCTGGAGGTATCTTATCTTTGTCATTGTTTCATTTCCTGTTTATTTTCCGCTAGCTATAGCTGTTCATTTAACTCCATATGTTTCTGTAGCATAGTATTAAAGCCTCAGTATGAAAGCTCCTTTCTGTACTGGATACTTAAAAACCCCACAAACCAGCAACAAAAAACCAAACCACAAAACCCAAACGTTCTGCAGAGTTAATGGTTTTATGGTAGGCTAATGCCTTCCTTGCTTGCCTGTCAGCATTCTGCAAGCAATGAATTCACCCATGTCCTCGATTTTAAGAGATAAGTTTATGAGCTGCCCCCCTTGGTAACAATTTTCTTTTTGGCTTCTATTCCCCTTCTTCTGTCGTTAGCTGAAAAAGCAGGGTTTAGGTATTTAGCTTTCAAGACCTCTGCTTCAAGCCTGAAGAGCTGATGCACCCAGATAAATCTCCAACCCTTAGAGCAAAGGTGGCTTCTTAACTTTTTTTTTTATGCAGACAGTTTCTCATTTTTGTTCCGATCTTCCAGACCTATCATCATCTGTTCCTTTTTCTGCTTTGCTGTGTGTTACTCTGTTAGCCTGAGCACAACACTTTGGCTGTTTAGGCTTTGGAGACCCAAGCAATGAGCCAGATAGGAAAAAGTACAAATGCCATGGCTGCTTTCATCTACGCTGTTTGGCCTGTAGTTGAGTGCCTTGTTTGATTAACATCTGATATGATAGGTGATGTTTGCTTGTGAAACACAATTAATACTCCTTGCAGAACAACTGCTCTAACAGCTTGCTGCCACTTGAAGGGACTATCCTAAGTCCAGCTTTATGCCACATTATTGCTCATCTGATTGCCTTCAGAAGTTGCTTCAGTTAGGCAAGTAATCAGTAAAACGTTATCTTCAGGACAGTGTCTGTGCTAGCTGTCTAAGGCTATAGCTGATTTCAAGGAGACTCATTACATTTAAGCGGAGTTCCCTAGAACAATGGGATGTTTGCTGGCTGGAAGAAGGGAGTCTCCACACTTGGTTGTAACTAGAATCCCACCTAGAGACAGGAGCTTTGGCACTGATATTAGAGTGCTGAGTCCCATTGAATTCCAGATTACATTGATACAGCTGCTTTCATGGGGCAGGAAACGTAAATAAAATAAAAAAAGTGTGTTCTCCCTCTCCTCCCGATTCTGTGCCCTCTCTATTTTTTGAGTTCACAGATCCAAGGCAGTCTGGTTATGCAGAAAATTACTGGCATAGCAAAGGCAGAGCATTGCAGCAGATGGGGAAAATGAGTGGCTGGGTCTGAGCATTCTTTAGCTGGGTCTTGCTCAATGCTATGACCTGAGTTACAGATTGACTGCTAAGGCTTCTTTGTCAAGGGATGCCTCCTAACACACAGAATTGACTTTTTTTAAAAATAGCATGCTACAAGGATGTACATATATGAATGGGAGGTCAGTGCTGGAAGCTAGATAGTGGAGGAATAAGGATTCAAAGATAGTACCTGGGAAGATTTTTGAGGACTGAGAATGCTGGGGTGGGTGTGATGCAGCTTCCCCCTTTCCCAGCACAGTTCAAGGAGTGCGATGCTACAGCGTGTCACTGTTGCTGGTAACCCTGAAGCTGCGAGTAGGAAGCAGTGTTACAGAGGTTCATAGCTTCAGCACCATTTGAAATTATGTTTCTCTTCTGTAGGCTTAACCCAAATATCTGGTAACCTTGAATATAGGTGAACTCTCTAAAGGTCAATTGCTTCACAAACCAAGGGAGTTCATTAAAATGTGGGATTCAGTAGCTGGATGCAAATACTGCATCTGGTTAGCGCTTCAAAGCTGAATCATAGCATTAAAAAAAAGGACATAATTAGGAGAATCTAGGGGTTGTTCCAATTTCTTGTACCTTCAGGTGACTCTTGAGGAGTTTGATTTCCAATGCAAGTCCTGAAACCCAGACATCCAGGCTCTGTTATTACATTAACAATGTACTGATCTCTCCTTTGGGCAGTACTAAGAAATCTTTATTTGTTGGCGACCACCCAAATATATCTAATACAGCTTGGTAGGAAAACTTAACATTAGTGTTTATGAGAAATTTTGTAGCGGTTGAGACCGGTGACCTCTGTCAAGTGTGGATATCAAGGATGTTGTTTTGTGCATAGTTTTACTTGTGGAGAAAACTTGATTTATTACAGCAGAATTAGGAATTATGACTGTGAGATAAAAACACTTCCTAAATCTGTGGCCTGTTTCCTTTTTTTCTTGTATTAATCTTATATCTCTTCATGCTCCAGATCTTCAGTTGGTTTTATTTTATTTTCCCAAGGACCAGAAAAGGCTTTCCTTGGAAACTGTTCATATACCATATGTTTTGTCAGAATATCTTTGGATGATTTGTTAGAAGTCCGCACTGGCTTTCTGGTGACTCAGGGATTGCACTATAATACTGATAAGATAATGTTTAATCATGTATTTTAAAGCAGGAGATTTAGGTCACAGGATTAGTTTGTTAGGAAGCTTCAATCAAGAATATATTAATTAGAATGCATACTGCATGCAGACAGATGTTTAAATTTGAATTACTAGATAAAATGGAACTTTTGTTGATGCAGAGCACTGCAGAAACCTAGACTTATTTTTATTTTTTTTTCAAGCAATGCCTGTGGATTTAGGTCAAGAGTGGAATGTCAGCATGTGGTAATGAACTTGCAAAAACTCCTTTTTCCCTACCCCACTTTCCTAGTGTGTTTAACAGGCGTAAGTGCCCACTGACTATGTGAGGGAGCTGAGTTAATACACCTGTTTTAAATTTAAATTTAAATTATTAGGGAAAAGAACAAACTTTTCAGGTGTACAGTGTTAGGACACACAACATTTCACATGTGGTTTTGCTTTTGCAGGAATAGATAGTCGATACAATGAAGGTTGCAGGGAACTGGCAAACTATCTGCTTTTTGGCTTGTATAACCAGAATAACAATGACTTTGAAAGAACTGAGTTCCCAGAAGAAGTTCTTGATGGTGAGTAAGATACTCAGCATTTTTATCTATTCTTCAATATTTCTGGCGGGAGAGCGAGCAGAAAAAGGAGCATATCTCAAAAAACCCCCACATCAGTAAATCTCTACTTGTGTATATACACATGAAAACTATTCTTGAAAATGCTGCTGAAGAACTCTTGTCTTTTAAACACATCCCCCCACCTCCAAACATTCCCGCAAGTGTTTTCATAACAGGCTGTATTTGTCTAGGTTTGGAAGTCCTAGTTCAGTCATGGTATGTATCTATATGTGTTATCAATTATTGTGTGATCACACCTCTGGAGTTCTGAAATACTTGAACTCTTTTTGCTTTAATATATTAACTCACTTGCTTAATATTTGAATGGTGGCCAATCACCATGAGCATAGATTCCCTTATTTGCATGAAACTTTGAATATCTACCCCATGGGCTGTAGTGCTGGTTTTCTGTTGGAGCAACCTTCTGACGTAATATCAGGCAAGAGCAACTATAGTTTACATTTTTGCAAGGGCTCTGTAAGGACTCATCACTGACACTCTTGGCTTTTCAAAGGACTGGCTGATGCAAGTTCTGTGCAAGACTTCAGAATAAACCCACAATTGTTTGGAACAGTAAGAAGTACTGTCGTACTTGGAACTGTATATGACTTGCCAACTGTTTCTTTCTCTTTTTTTTAAAAAGAAGTGAGGAGTGATTGTGTATTCAAATAGTTAAACAATTTTCTTTTAATGAGGTACCTTACAGGAAAAGTGTTTTCTGTTCAGTTTCTATGAGGGCTTTTTTTGTGCCCATATAATTAATCTGTGTATGGAGTCTCAATGCTGGAATAATATTTGTTCTGCTTCTTGCAGATATAATCATATTAGTAAAAGCTGACAGTGTCCATCTGTACTGTAACCCTGTGAATTATAATCATCTTTTGCCCTATGTGGCACACTGGAAGAACTTGCATTTTCACTGTCTAACTGAAAATGAGGTAAGTGGAAAACGAATGCAGATAAGAATTACTAATGAACTGATATTCAAAGTGGAACTTTTTTTTAACATTCCTTCCAGAGGTCTTTTTTTCTTTTTCATACTCAGCAGGGGAGTGATTTTCATGTATATATGGGCATTAATCATTTTTCTGATGTGTGCATGAAGAACATGTTTTTAATACTTTGTATTTGTTGGAGCATGAAGACAAATTGCTCCCCTCTACCGCTAATTATTATTGTTTTGATATGAGTCTTTTAATGAGGAAAAACTTGTGGGTTGTGAGAAATGCAGAATCTGAATCTAGCACTACAGTCAACACTGAGATTTCCAATGATAGCTTTATTTGTTACCAAGGCAGTGTTTTAATGTGTTGTTTGCCAATAGTTTTAGAATATTAGAAAAGATCCACGTAGTGAGCCACTTATCCATAAGCAAGTTTCTTGATTTTTTTTTTTTGTTTTAATTTTCGACTCTTCCCTTAAAGAGCTATTAGTCTCACTTTCACTGGACCACGTGAGTGATGCAAGTTTAATCTTGTATTTAAAAGCCAAGGTATTATTAAAAACCCCTGTGTTTATCATAGTATTGTTAGAGGAGTAAAAAACGAAAATACTGTTTGTCTAAATGTAGAATAAGAACCTTTTTAGTCCAGTTCAGGCTGGAAATCCTTCTTCCTAAATGCCATCACGGGAAGCTTCCTCCCCTGGTCAGTTCCATGTAGTTCCTTTTTGAAATTAGAATTATAGTGAAATCTGAAGGGAGTGGGTTAGGAGCCTGCAATGTCAGTGGGTGAAACTGGTGGAAGAATGAATGGGGAGGTCAGGGAGAGAAACCTTTTGTTTCCTTGAGTTTCCAGCTTGAAATTGATGGGGCTTATGATAGATTGATTGTGTTTCTATGTGGCTGGTTGATAGTTTAAATCACAGAATTCAGAAATCAGGTTAATGGGACCTCTGGAGATTGTCTTGTCCAACTTCCTGCTTAAGGCAGGGTTAGCGATGAGATCAGATCAGGTTACTCGAGCTTTTTTGCAGTTGGATGTTGAAAGCGTCCAAAGGTGATGACTGCAGAACTTCTCTTGGCTATCTGCTCCATTACCTGACTCTGCTAATAGAGAAAAAGTGTTTCCTTTTATCTAATCTGGACCGCTTTTGTTTTAAATCATGCCCTTTGTCATGCATCCTGCAACTGCAGGCCACTGTGAAGAGCCTGGGTTCACCATCTCAATAATGTTTTTGTGGGTGTTGGAAGGCAGTTATGGGATCCGGCCTGAACAAGCCTGGGTCTGTCCTTATAGAGCAAGTGCTCCAACCCACAGATCATTATGGTGGCCCTCCGCTGAACTTGCTCCAGTTTGTCAATGTCTGTCTTACTTGTGGGTCCCAAAACTGGATGTAGTGTTCCAGATACAGTCCTGTGAGTGCTGCATAAAGGGGGATAATTACTTCTTGTTAATATGTAAGCAGTTGAGCTACAAGTTAAAGCATGCTGTAGCAAAACCTAAAGCCTGTCTTAATAAAGTTTTCCTGTTGCCAAAATCCCTACCAAAAGGACAAATCTTGAGGCATACCTGACGATGGTGAAAATGTATACATTTTGGAATCAAGAAATGAATAGTTCTTAATGCAATGTCGCTAGCACAACTGCAATCTCAGCTATTGAATTTTAAGCTCCATCTGCTTATGGCCTTTTATGTGATTTATGATGAACAGTAACCTTAATCACACAGTATTGCCTTGAAATAATGGTGTAACTAGAAAGGTCAGCTGTATGCCTTGCTATTTGTGAAAAGGAATGGAAAAGTTTGATTTCTGAAGCTGAAAATACAAAGTTTACTTCATTGCTGTTTCCTATGAATGAGCTGAGCAATGCACTTCCTAATGTATAAGAATTGCCAGTTTCCTAGATTACTTCTGAAAGAGAAATCAAAAAACGGTGCTGTGTCAGGCTTTAAGTGCATCCTGTTTACAGGAGGATTGCCTGCAATGGCTTTTAAGCTTTTTTTTTTTTTCCCCAGCAATAGAAATAACTTTTTCTTGCTTTTATAAAAATGAAACCAAAAAAGCTCAAGAGTTTTAGAAATAAGGCAAGCAATGCTGTAGCTGACTCTGTGCAGCTCTTGATGAACCTGGCAAAACCTGTAGCCTGTCCTTTGTTTCTTCCTTTTTATTGCCTTTAACTAGACCATAGCAATTTAAGTAGACTTAAGTTGGCTTTAACTAGACCATTAAGGAATTTAAATATCCTGGTTATTGGAAGAAAAAGCATATTATTAAAGAATGCCCATTTTCAAAATGGCTAAATAAGAGAAATTACTGATATTTGATGCATCCTGTATAATGTTTCTGGGTGTCATGACTGTACAATTTAAGGAATGGGCTGCATTTATACCTGCAGTAGCAGATAGTGAGCAAGCCTTTAGCACCCTGCCAAAAACCAAGTTCTTATTCTAATGGCTTTTCATGTCTTGAGAAACTGGCAGTTGTTTGGAGCTTGGCTTTGAACTGAAACTTTGATCTGGCTTCCTGGGATTGAAGAAAGAACACATCATGGAGGAACTTGGGCTGCATCTTGAATTTGGGCTTGTCTTAAAAGAACTTGTTCTTAAAATAAATTTTTTGGGTGTACCCTGAAGCTTACAAAAGCTATATACAAAAAGTTCACAATCATGTAATTTAGCCTAATATTAAGTTCAGAGCAGTGTACATTTAAAAAAAAAAAGACAAAACACAACTGCCTTCTGATCTTGCTCCAAAAAGCAAGTGATTCTTGAACCAGTGGGTACCCTGTTGGTGTCAGACTTGCTGCTAAACTGTACATTTTCAGAAAAAAATCAGAGAGCATTCTTAGGATTATTTTCTGTTATAGAAATTATTTCTGTGTGATTTGTTTCTTCAGTCTAGTTTTTATGCTTCCCTGAGCCATAAGTATGATACTTGTTCTTCACTCCTTCAGTCTGCTGAAGGCTTCAGACGACTGTCGCCTGCTACTAGCGTGGAACAGCAAGATAGTGTCGCATGGCGGTGTCTGCTCTTCTTTCCTCTTTCTTTTCCTACACATATGTTTCCCTCAGACAGCAGTCGGTTCTCATTGCTTGTTCTGTGACCTGAGGCATATCTTGTCTGTCTGCTTTCCCAGTTTAGTGTTGTTAAGCTGGTAATTTTTTTTTTCTCAGTAGCAAGTTTTTGTAGCACATGAGTTAGTGTTCTCAAAGTATCTTTTATTGCTTAAAAATTGTCCAGAATCTAGCAGATGATATTGAAAGACTTCACTGAAAGCTGAAAATGAAGTATATATTTATGCCTTTGTATATAACCTTATTAAAAGCCTTTCTCTGAAGTTTGATTTTTTTTTTTAAAGAACATTTTCCATTGGCTTGAATACATCCCTGCCTTGATGGGGTTTCTAAAACATAAAGGCTAAAGAGATTCTTTAACTTCTGGAACCTGTAGGTAATACTTTAGTGGATTACGTGAAGTTCCAATTGCCATGGAATTAAAGTAGTACAATACATGTTCTCTTTAGTGCAAAAATAACAATCAAATTAGGCATCCCTAATCAAATTTTATTTTAAATTACTGCTTTCAGTATGAAGATGAAGAAGCTGCAGAGGAATTCAAAATTTCCAGCTTTGTAGATATGGTTCGAGATTGCAGTCGCATTGGTATTCCGTACAGCTGCCAAGGTAGGTTAGCTTGGTTTCTGTTGATAGTGTAAGTGTTTTGCAGCATGCGGGTCAAGCAGTTAAAGGAATGAAGATTGCCTTTGGTAAGAAATACGGATTAATATGTCAATAGTTTCCTTTTAGCCCCTTTTTACTTGAGTTGGGCTTCTTTCTGAAAAATGTAAGCCCTTAGCCTTCATCTGAAGGGTGCATGAGGCAAAGAAATAATTTGCATTCAGAGAAGTGTGTTCTACTGCTACAGAAGTTCTCTGTTCAGATGGGAGCTCCAGATAAATGCTTCTTTATGTAAGGAAAGAATAAACATTTCATTATGCAAGTTTCCCTTTTTAGCACTGAAAAAACTGGACTGCATGACTTCCTGTTATGATCTGTAGCCAGCCTTGCAGCCTGAACAGTGTAATCTTACATTGTTCAGTGAAGTGTACTTTGCAATATCCCCAACAGTGAATAATGTCAAAGCAGCGCAGCGCATGTACTTCACTCTGCAGCACGAGCATATGGGGGGTTTGATCTGTACAGTAGGTGGGAGGGAAACAAAAAAAAGCAAATAGCTTTCTATTTTTGAACCACCTAAGTTCAAACCAAGCTAATTCAGTTTTTTGTTTGTTTGTTTTTTGATTCATAATTCTTCACTGCTTCTCTTGATGAAAGGATGAGATGCTCTGACTGCCTGAAAAATTATTAATGAGGCAGGGTATGGGGGAAGGATGGCGGTTCTTTGTTAGGAAGTATCTAAAGAAGATGTGTAGCTTAAGCATGATAATCACACTTCAGATAGATTACAGCTTCACTATTCATCAGTACCAGGCTGAATAGTTTTCTTTGCCCCCCCGCCCAACTTAAAATTATGATTTCTCATGGGGATGATGTTGATAGTATTTTACTTAAGGCCAAATATTGGAAGAAATGGGAGTAAACAAAGTTCCCTGTTTATTATCTTGAATTTTAATGGGCATGGTTTTGCTGATGGTCTTGAAATGAAATTCACAAGGAGAAGTGATACTTTTAGCTAGATTGATGGCAGGAAAAAATGGACAAAATTTGGAGTGCAGAGGAAGGCGTTTCTAAAAGCTACCACCTTCACAAAAAACACTTTTAAATTGCAGATTTTAAGTTGTGCAAAGACAGGATAATTGAGATCCTTTGTTAGAATCTGAGAAAACCCTGGGATCTCACAGAAAGTTAAACTGCCAGCATTTGTGAGAGAATGTTTCTGTGAAACTTCTTTTGCAGGTCATCTACAGATATTTGATATGTTCATTGTTGAAAAGTGGCCAATAGTGCAGGCTTTTGCACTGGAAGGAATTGGGGGTGATGGCTTCTTTACAATGAAATACGAAGTAAGTAGTTAACATTTTTAATTTTCTTCCATTTCCATTCTGAAGCAGAAATTGAATCATGGAATTATTTCAGTTGGAAAGTACCTTTTGAGATTATCTAATCCTGACTCACTGCTCAAGCAGGCTTTTAAGCTGGATGAAGTTTTTCAGGAGTGTATGAAGCTGGGTTTTGAATGTGCTAGGATGGAGACACCACAGTCTTGCTGAGAGACTGTCATGAGCTATACAGCAGTCTATCCTGGATAAATCATGACTGTTTAGTGACAGCACTCTATCCTGGATAAATCATGACTGTTTAGTGTGTGTCCCGTCCTCCCTGTTGGGATTTAGAACTTTTTTCCCTATCTTCTAGAGCCTCCTCTAGCAGTAACAGAAAATGCTTTTTTAAGTGGTCTAGATGAGTATAATTTTTCAAGAGCAGTGGAAGAGAAGCTGGTTAGTGACAAATGCCTTGAAATGAACTGAGAAAAATAGAAGTTACTATATTGCTTGTGTCATTGGTTTTGACACAGAGATGCATCTACTTTTCTCATCAGCATTATATATTGCGTCATTGCAGCCTGCTGAAGACAAAAAGATTTTGGATTATGTTCCTAGTTGTAATAATGATTTGCTGTTCCACTCTGAGCAACTTATGTCATTTGATTTGCCTATTTATTAAATATACTCTAACAGCATCTTCAGAGTACAGCTTTGTATTTTATGTACTTGTTTCAAGCTTCTTTTATTTAATTTTCTTGGACCTCTGCCACAGAAATGCAGATGTCCTATTTTTCTTGTCATTCCTCCATTTTTACGGCTAGAATGTTCTTTGTCTGACTTCTGACAACTGGAAAAGTTGTACCATTGTTAAAATCTCGTCACATACAGTACTGTACATGCTTGCTCAAAAATCTATTATTTGAGTTCAAGTGTGCCTTTCCCTGAGAACTGTGCTTTTTCTACTGATACTTTTATTCATTTTTTTTTTCTTTGTCGCTGGTAATGTAATCATCTTGTTGTGTGAACCTGTCAAAATCATATATACAAAGTGCAAATAGGTTAGCATCCTTGTGGAGGTCTGCCTATGAGTCAATAGGCCTTCCTGATATTCATGAAGATTTTGGCTGTGAATTGAGGAATTTGTTTGGGTCTTTACCCCTGCTGTTTCATTTCATGAATCCGCAGAGGCTTTGAGAAAGTTTGCAGACACAGTGTGGCAATGACTTCGTAAAGATGGAGCCTCTCCCATTTTGTTGTGGGTGTTGATACTGTCTTTGCTGCACCCTTGCAGACTGAAAAAGCAGCAATGCAAATTCTCAGTGCTCGATTTTAAGAGTATGCTCGTTAGCTTTGGCAGTTCAGCCAGTTCCAGCTTGAGTTCTTGCTTTCTTCCTCCTTAAAGTCATAAGGGGATTTCAAGTGGGAAGTGGCATTCTTAACTTTTTCCATAACTGTTTATGCATATTTGTCTGTTAGGCAGCTGCTATATGTCACAGATGGGGAGGGAAAACCAGTCTATGGGAGGAAGTACATTTGGGATCACTGTAAATGGTCTATAAATGAATACTTCTGATGTCATTAAAAGAGGATGTTCTTGGTGCGTTTTTAGCTTCTCAAACTGACTATTCCTCTGCTGTGCATTCTACGCTGTTAGATTTGAAAATAATCTAATGATGGTAACTTTATAATATTTTTTCAGTGTTTTAAGGGCAGTTGCTTTAATATTACTCTTACTAGAGAAATCACAGTTGCTCAAGATCCTGTAATCCTGAGAATTTACTGGACCAATAGGTGAATGGAAATGATGTCTGGGAAATCATTAGTGCCATCTAATAGTATGAGTAACTGTAATAACTGTAAAGAAGTGGTTTAAGCAAATCCCAGTCAGGGCTTCATTTTCATTTAGGTGGGTGGTAGGGAACCCTGTAATTGCAGAAATTATTCAGATACATGTTTCCCTTAAGAATATGGTTTTGAGTTGTGTTCTCATATCATCTTACTACTTGGGAGAAGGCATTGCTAATTGTTAAGTTAAACTAGCTTTGCCTAAATTTACATTATGCTTACAGCAAAAATTGGATAATTGGTTCGTGTGTAGGATGAGTAACCTTGGAATCTGCTTCTTGTCTGTATTGTTTCAGAAAACAGATCTTTCCCTTCTGGTTGCACCAGATGATACTATTCTTTGCTGTTGACTCAATTTTGAAAAACTTTATGTAAGGATTTGTTTAAAAGATGAAAGCAAAATTTTGCACATACTTTCATCTCCTCAAGTGAGGTTTAGTCTCTGAAGTGTCCAGAACACTTGCATCTGGTCAATTCTTTTGTAACCAGTAGTGTAAAAATATTTCTGAATTCAGAGTTAAGGAGGACTGATAGCCTGGGCAGTGTGCTGCAAGTCTGTTTCAGTGCAGCTTGAACCCAAATCTGTGGCATTCTTCATGGTGTTTTTCACAAAAGTGTGTTTAAAATATTTTTCAGTTAATGGATGTCAGTGTTGATTTGTGGAAGACGTACAGCAAAATGGATCCTGTTTCCTTGGAGGACTTGCTCTTTGAGGTAATGCACGTGAAATATTCTGAATCAACTACCAGTCTGTTAGTGTAGCCCCACAGAAAAATTGTTCTGATTTAGTTTGTTTTTAATAGTGCTTAGGGACTTAACCTGAGGGCTCTGCATTCTGTTGTTCGTAGAGTCTCTTTCCTCAAATCTACAAAACATTAACTTACGTTGGATTCCTTGAATTTCTTAATTTGCCTGAAATTCTCCTAAAAGTTTTTTCTAAATAGTGTAACTGTTCTTCATGTCATAGGACTACTTACAAAATACACAAAGTCAGTATGTTTGTGTGCGTTAATTCTCCATTTGCACACGTTTGCTTTGTAATTACTTAGAGTGGGTAACAGTGACACACAGTGGCTGCCCCGATGCTTTGTGAAATACAAATATACCAGGGTAAAGTGTTTCCTTGCTTTAAAGGAGTGGTCTGATCTCAGTGCTAGAGAAGGAAGCAATGTATGAGTATTAGTATATATTATTTTGTTTTTAATTTCATATCAGTTTCTAGTTTGGCAGGAAACTAGGCTTTTAACATGTAGCAATTTCAGCAGTAAGTATCTCTTACTAATAAAATTTTGGTAGTTCACACCAATTTGATTGTTTAATCAACTGCTGTAATGAACATTATAATGTCATACAGTTTACAAGGCTGTCAGTCTAAGTAGTCGCTCTCTGATACTTCACTTCCCCCTTCCTGTGGAAGTGAGATAAATGTCTGGGACTTCTCTTGTACCTGCTAAGACAACCCTGAAACAGACTTATTTATCTTATTTTGAAGAGACTAGAATTTTCAATTGTTTTTTGTCCATAAGCGTACTTAATGTCAGATACAAATTATTGCAGAACCACATATAGATTTAAAAGTAGGAAATTAAATCTAAGTGTTAATTTTGGAAGTCTTGTGGGAAACATGGGTTATGAGTTACGAGTACTCTCAAAAATGTGTGATTCCTTGGGTTAAAAGCAGATAGTGCAGGACTCTGGTCCTTTCCCCTCTGCTCCTTCTCTCTCCTAAAAAAACAGAAACCCCAAACAAACAAAAAGCCACACACCCAAAAAAAAACCCCTATAAAGTCCAGCAGAAAGTCCTTATCTTTTAAAAGATGTTTATTTTCTTGTATTTACTGTTCTATTGGGCAGGCTGTATTCTATACTGTATAGTGAAATGTAATCTATGTTGTTATAAAGTAATTTGGGTTCATTCAGTATAATCTGTGACTTCCTTTCTCTGATATAATGCTAGCTTTATTAAGTAATGCTGAATGTTTTTCCTCTAGGATTTAATGATTTTTGAACAGCAGTGGACCAACTTTTTTGCTAATTTTGACACTGAAATTCCCTTCATTCTGGAACTATCAGAATCTCAGGCGGGGGAGGTATGCCTGCTTCAGTATTCCTTTGAAATCCTAGTGTCATCTATGCCAAAGTAATAAGTATTCCGTTTTGGGTTTGTTTTTTACTTTTTTTTTCTTTCTGCCTACCCCATCTCATCTTTCATGTTTGAGAAGAGGAAAACTATTGGATTTTTTTCTTTAAGTTCACCACTCACCTTACCTATCCATGGTATGATAGTTTAGGACTGCCTGGTGTAATTCGGTTGAGTGTTTCTTCATTGATAATTAAGCTTAGTTGATTTACTTCTGCTCAACAGATCCCTCTTTGTAGATAAATTGACTTTCATTTTGGTGGAAGCTCTAGTGTGTGCACTTCCTGACAAGTTGAGGTTGCACATGTCAAATCTCAAACGTAACTGAGGGCAACATACAGCATGGGTAAAAATAGTGCAGTGCTTTTGGGTAGTGGCTCTTGCTTTTTAAACATATGCAAGACTTAATGGTGTTTGGATTTGTTTATGCAGATTGGAAATAGTTCTTGAGGATCAGGAGTTTTCTCTGAGAAGGATAATTCAGGTTTGTTCTTAATGATAGTGAGGATATATCATACTTTCTGTGCATTTAGTTGTTAATCAGATTTATCTTTTTTCTTCTTCACAGCCTTTCAGGAGTTATTTCAGTCATGGAATGATTTCAAGCCATATAACAGATAACAGGTATTACTCATTATTCCTTATGAAATTGTCGTGTCACTAGTACCTTGATGTTATTTCCGTATCTCTGATGCCATAATGTTCATAACTCCTTTTGGGACCGTCTCAGTATATCACATCTCACCTTTGCATATTTAATGCAAAAACCACATGCAAAAGCACTTCTAGGTGGGATAAACTGGCTTTTCATGGGATTTATTGCTGTAATTATTACATATACAATGTAATTACATTTGAAACCATCTACCTTGTGCATTCTAATATGATTAGTTTATTCATGGGCAGATGTCTAAACAACCTCATGAACTTATTACACAGGACAGCTAGGTTTTAAAATTTTGGTCCTCTTTATATGATACTGAGAAACAATTAAAATATGAAAGTTGAAGAAGGCAGTATACCTTTGTGAGTCACAACATGCAAAAGACAAATGCTTAAAGCAGAGCGGTTAAACCCCCAAATCTTAGCTAATATAAGCTGGGCAATACAGGTCAGCTTTATTTTATTTCAGCAAAGAATTTTAACTGAGAGGGAAGGTTGTTTGTCATATATTGCAAAACCAAGTGTTTTGCTGTTTCGTGCTAAATAAAGGTTGCTTAGATACTTGCATGTCTCTGCAGATTCTTCTTTATTTGGAATTAAATAGTGGAGTTCAAAGTTCTTTATTGTTTCCAGTATCCTATTTTGTTTGCATTTAAATAAAGAAAAGGAAAACCTTGACCTGTAGAGTTGAGTCTTGGGCTCAAAGCCAGAATTAAAACCAAAATAGTTTTGTTTAATTCCACTATAGTCATTTCAGGGTTTCGTAAATTTTAAACTAGTCAGCTTTCAAGCCAATTAATTTAAAAATAGGAAAAAAAAAAAGCACAACCCTTTCTAATAGCATTTCGGAAATGGCCTTGAAATATGTTCTTGTATATGAAATAAATTAGTCTTGTTAATTCAAGTAGGTATTTTTTTCTTTTGGAACTTGATCTTTTCAGTGGAAAGCTTTCTGCAGCTGTAGTAAATTTTTTTTTTTTTGTCCTTCTTTAGTGAGAAATTCAACAGTTGGTCCATCGGACTTGAAAGCTTTGATTTAATTTGTTGTTTGTAAGTTTTCTTCAAGTATCTTGGTGGCAGTACCCTCTTTTCTTCTCTTTTCCTCAGCCCGAGCCGGCAGCCCTTTGTTCTGTTTGGTAGCCACTCTACCAAGGAAAACTTGAACTCTGGTAACTTTAATTTTCCATCAGAAGGACATCTTGTTCGAAACACCGGCCTTGGAGGAAGCACTGCTAAGCATATGGTAAGGCTTTTAAGTAGTTATCTGATATTTTGAAACAATGTATATTTTCTTTTTCATTGTATATTTTTTGTACCCTTAAAATGCTTACCCTCTGGAATTAAGTACCAAATTCTTAACATTTAAAAACATGTTACTTTAATAATCAACCAGATAAAGGAACAAATTTCCTTTATCTCTCTGTTTCCTAGTGAAACTATACTAGATGTTTAATCAGGGATTGCTGAATGAGTTAAAATATTTTTCCCCTTTAAAAAGACAACTTTTTTAACACTTGTGGGGTGGGGGAGAGGGAAGTGTTACTCGTGAGGATATTTGTCCTAGCCATAAAGTGGAAATCTTCTGGATGGTAGCATATGATTTGATTTTAATTGGAATTGCTTTAGCCATTTCTTACAAAGAGGTGGAGAGACACTTTTTTTGATAATGACTGTGAATAGACAAAGGATTCTTATGTGTATCCAAATTTCAGTGTATGCTTCAGCAGCTGAGCAGTTCATGCAGCTGAAAGTCTTTCTGGTGTTCAAAGAATGTTAAGATCAAGTTGTAAGATTAACTTGTTTCCATTTTCAAGTAAAAGCTTAGTTTTAATACATATGATGAGGTCGATGGCTTGTTGCACCACCACGCAGGGGACGTAACTGGGGAAGGGACCCCAGGGAACTCAGATCCTCTGGCTGGCTGGTCTGGGTGCATCAAGAAGGTAACTCACAGCAAAGGAGGAGAGGTAGCATGCAGATTGCATCGTGTAGTTCTCCCTGATGGCCAACTTCCATGGGCTCTGGGAGTGTCTGTCAGTTGTGCGAGTCCAAAGTCTGTGCTGTTGAGGAGATGGATGTGGTTGAGTACAGGTCATCATGGAGTGAACGTGTGATTGAGGGAATGGTTTTTATGATCTTGTCATGCTGACATTTTGTGCATAGCCTTAGGGGTGGATGTATGTGGGTGTTTTGGACACATTACATTGATCAGAAGCCTGAGAAAGGATCGTATTAGCATTCTGGTGAAATCTCATCCTCCATTTGCTGCTCTATCTAATTCTATTTCTGTAAGAACACTTCCAATTTTGTTTTTTTCTCCCCTTCTTACATTACCATTAAGACCATTTGATATCTTTCATAATGCGGGTACGTATTTTATTTCTGATGCAGTACTTGCTCCATCTGTTGTCCTCAGATTCTGACATTGTTCTTAAAAAGGTGGTTTATTTACAGGTACAGGTGGTACGGTTTTAATAGGGTATCATGAAAGTAGTAAATAAGACCAAGTGCAAGCATAGTTATGGGAACCTGACACACTTTCCTCTTCACGAAAAGAGCAGTTGACATAGGAGATTGAAAACACATGCTTAATGCTTATGGAAGTCAGAGCTCATCTTCCCAAAGCCTTTCAACCATTCAGGTCAAGTCAAAAGTGAAATATACCTTTGAAAACGTAAGTTGCTTTTTTAAAATCCAGTTAAGTCTGTATTGTGCACTTCTTGTAGTATACACCAGTGGTTAGAAAACTTAAGGGGAACTTAGCTTATTGTTAATTTTTGCACTTTTTTTTTTTTACTAACATGTCTTTGTATCTCATTAATACTGACAACTAGGTAGTACAGTGTGTATCTCCAAAGGGACCACTGGCTTGTTCAAGGACCTATTTTTTTGGAGCCACTCATATTCCTTTCCTGGGTAAGTATATTGAAAATACCAAGCAGTAATTAAAGGCTGTTATTCTCTGATTATTTAAAATCATAGTGGTTAAAAGATGTTTTTGATTCCTTTTACGAGCATTAGGTCACGCAGTGGTAGATACTGTATAATTCTGTAGCTGGTGCATCGAGTCATAATGGAACATTGTTCCATTGCACATCCTACATTCTCGTGTGAAAATCTGTCAGATAATCTCAAAGAACGATTCAAAGAAGTGTATTTGTGTTTGCATTAGAATGCAGTGTGAAGGTTGAGAGCACCTCAGTGTTCAGGCCTCTTAGAAGTACTAGATAAACATTTAAGTTGGTATTCTATACATATTGATAGAAAAACAATCCCCAAAAATCTAGGAATTCAAAATAGTCTTCAAATAAGCCTGCTTTTTTTAAAAAAAAACCAACAAAATAATTAAGGATTTTATAAGGATAGAGAAGATTGTTTGATTTTATCCATCATGTTTGGGTCAAATAGAGTGTTATAATAGTTGTCTTTCCAAATTAAAACCAAGCCTTGTGAAATTAAAAAAAAAAAAAATTCTTACCCATTTAAAATGGCAGCGTGAGTCTGTGGATAAAGTCAATCTCCTTAAGGTTACTATATATCTTGAAACCATATCCAGCTCAAAGTATCTGAAGAGAAGATGGTTGGGGGCTTCCAGAATGGAAGGAATTATAGCTTGTGTTTGCTCTAGTTGTGTTTTTTCCTGGGTATCCAGGAATGACCACTTTGGGAGACAGAACAGAGCATGAGAGATCTCTGTTCTGACACAATGCAGCTGTTTTTGTGGGATGCAGGTCTTATTTTTGTCCGTAGTATGTACTGTCTGTACTGATATAAGTTAACCTGTGCTTTGCTCTTTTTTAATTATACAAACAAACCGTAGTTATATAAAATACTGGATAAATGTTGTGTAATATATGCAGCAGAGATGTTATACTCGGTGTAAACTCTTCTGAAAGGGCTTAAAACAAACATTTTTGTTTTTAATACAGGAAATGACAATGAGGTGCACAAGCAAGGCGAACAAATGTAAGCTGCCAACTTTTTTTTATTCCTTAACTCTTCACCCTTTCTACCTTGTGGTAGTAGGTCAAAACCGCTTTTAGTCAGCAGTGGCTGGTCACATTTGCAGAGCTACACTTTTTACAATAGCGTGAATGTGAGAGAGCGAGTAAACTAGGAATTGTTAGTGAGACATCCCTTCTGTTGTATGGCAAAGTATGAAAGGAAATAATCGTAAATTTTGCTTATATTTTGTTAAAACTTTTTAAAATCTTAACACTTATTCAAATCACTTCAAAACATACTTCATATTCACTGAGGGGGAAAGTATCTATAACTGAATGGGAACATGTTCCATAGATAGAAGTAATTTTTTTTAGATTAGTTTCATTAATCTAAACAATGTGTGAGACTTATAATGGTTACTGAAAATGCCAATAGGGAGCACTCAAACTTGCAAAGCAATTCCACTGTGTGAAAGGGTAGATAAAAGTTAACTTTGTTGTTTTTCAGTAAGCTACAAGGCTTCAGCATATTTTGACTTTCACAAAATAACACTTTGTTTATCCATGTTAATGTCCACTTCTTTGCATGTTGTAGATACCTGTCAAGCTTTAAGAACATGGTAGATAGTCTGCTTTGGTAGTGCTCTCAGTCCTGATAAACCAGACCTTTCCTTAGAGATTTTTGCCTCCTTGCTAGTTAGGATAATTTTAGGAGCTTGTTCTTGCTTCTGCAGAAGAGCAGTTTGCAAGCCTGCGTGGCAGCTTAGTGAGATAATAAAGACGTGTCAGAGGGAGCTGGTAGTGGTGACCTTTCATGCTAAGTACTGTTGACTTCTGATAATTGTGGTATGGTTCTCAGGCATAAAAGTGAAATTACTAGACTGAGCAGCGGAATTTTTTTTCATAGTAAGGGTAACTTTGACAGGTAATCTTAGTTACATATATGTTCTGCTAAAACCTGTAGAATATCTCTTGTCCTGCTTCTAAAAGACACTGCACTAAATACAGTTCTAACAGATGGCTAGAGGGATTCTAAGCAAAACTGTCAAAAAATGACCTCATGATTTTGGGATTAGTTTGCAGTTGAGTCCTGTAACTGGTTCTTATATCTGTCAACGTTTTGCAATGAAATAAAAAGTGGAAAAATAAACACTATTGAGCCCAAATTCAGCTGTATTTAGGAAGCTGAACTACAACTTAGAGTGCACATTGGACTGCTTATTCTGACTGTATAACTTTAAAGTTCCCTGGAGTAATCTCCGTATTTTTATTTAAAAAAAAAAAAATACCATTTTCTTGTATGCATTATTAGTGTTAAAATTTTAAAATGGGAAGAAGAATAAGGTAACTATAGGATATTAATGTAAAGCTCCGCCCACTGTGTGATGTTCTCTTGCAAATAGATATGTGAATTTGAGTGAAAATAGGAATGGTTAGAGTTAGGAAGAATTACATGCATTTGCTGTAAGGAGTGTGTACTGAAAACATAAGTTAAATGCATGTGTGTGAAGTACATGAAATTCCATAGCAGAAACCTCCAAAAGTTGTAAGAAGGTTTGATTTAAAAATCTCTTACTGCTACTGGGGATGAAGTTCAAATATAAGCATTGGTGCATTTTGAGGTTCTTCCATGTTGGGCCATGTTTGGGAGCTTCAGATGCTTTTTTCCATCCTTCAGAAATGCTTTGCATATGGCTTAAATGCTGTATCCTTCTCTTTCCTCCCCCCTCTGTTCTCCCTCAACGTTTGCAGTTGCAGAGGAGTAATGAGAGGAATTAAAGTTTGGGGAAGTCAGACTGTTCTGTCAGTCTGCTTATCTTTTTGTTCCAATTTACTGGAAGACAGAGACTGATGTTTCTTAGTTGGGCACAGGTGGGTTTTTTCAGTAGTTCTGGAGCTATAAACATGTCAGTAGCTCTAAGTTGCTTGTGGCTTCACCTAACCTTTGTTTGTTTGTATACGGTTTTTTCAGTTCCCTTTTAAGAAGGGAATCAGACTGAGCTGTGATGTAGATATGCTGAAAAGGTTGTGGTGACTGGTTTGTTTCGGTATCTTTTTTGCTTGACATACTCCAGAACAAGTCAGTCTCTTAAATTGTTTCACTCTGCTTTCCAGTTTTGCTTTTGTGGAACACGGGGCTATCATTCCTTTCTTGTTGGAATATTTAGGGTATGATCTTCAACACAACTGCAGCAAAAGTCAATAATAAAACATTATTATTTTTTTCCCTTGACTGCTGAGAGCAGGGATAGCATACATTTGTGCCAAGAGGTTTTTACCCCAAGATATTCTGTAATATGAGCAATTTACTTGCTCTAATTTGGTTTTTTAAGCTGAAAGGTTAAGTATAGAACTATTTCTGTGCTTATTTGAGCAAGGGCTCCTTCCGTATAAGGGAGTTTTGATATGAGAGGAAAAACTGCTCCTTTAAACAGAGAAGGAAGAAAACTCTATCTGTCTAGTAAATGTTGTGTTTGTATTTCTCTTCAGTACGCTGTTGTCGCAAATATATACTGCTGTTGTAGAGGCTGTGCTTGCTGGCATTGAGTGCTATGCTAAAACTTCCACTGAATCCAAGGTAAATGAAGCACCAATTCTGTACACTGTAATTGTTGATTTGGATTGCTTGCAATATAAGATTACATGCAAACCAAAAATAAATGTTTCGGTCAATTGCATAACGTTAATGAAGTTAATACTGTGGCCTCCAACCAGTGTCTCTGAATGCTGTTTAAAAAAAGAGAAATTTCAGAGTATATCTAATCTTATCCATCTACAGTTGTTTTTTAATCGTTCATGAATTTTCCTAACCTTATAGTAAGGAAAATCAGATATGTGAAAACAAATTTTAGCCTGGTGCATCACTGTGTTATTGTTTAGTGTATGGTCTCTTGTTTACCTTATGGGTGCTCCTGTAGTTGCTGGGATTTGGAAGTCTGGGAAGAGATATTTTATTCTCAATTTCCTTTTTTTCAGGCGAAGGATGTAGCAGAGCAGATGCTCATGTCTATGTTGGATACCCTTCATTTAACACAACTTAAAACTGCATTGCGGTATGTATTTTCAAATGCTTACTGATTGATGTATTAGCTTCCTCTGGGAAAACATACGTCAAATGTTGATTTTAAACTGAGCTTGCATGACTGCCAAATTCTAAGACTTCATAACACATTCAGACTTCTAAAATCATTATAATTATTCCATTTTTCTTTCTGGTTTTTTTTTTTTTTAAATCGCTTCAGCTGTTATTTTGCTTTAAGTCTATTATTGCTTATTCTTTACATGTAGAGGAAGTATAAAACACACTTTTCACCATTACTATTTCTGTTCTACAGCTCCAAAATCACTTTTCAGATTCAGGCTGTGAATAATCATGGAAGGTTTGTATCACTGTCTTACACTTCATGTTATTAATTAGTTTTTAATACACTGATAAGTTTATTTTTCTTGTTTTGGAACTTCTGAGGAAACATTGAATTTGATTATTTCATATGAGATGTACTAAGTGTTTTTGTGTGTGAGAAATTTAATGTTTTCATGTCTGCAATTCTGTGGAATCTTAAAAACATTTGAAAAAATTTGAAACCACTGGGCAGACCAATCTTATTAACTGTTAATGAGTAGAAGTAGCATGAGCCCATTAAGAATTTCTTTTTAAAACTGTGCTTTTAACTTGATATCACAAGCTTGTGCTTTTTTAATCCCCATGCTGTCTAATTGACTGAAATGGCCTACACAAATAAGAGTTTGTTTTAAAATTAAATAGCTTTTATTGGGCTGCTATGAAGTCACTCAAAATGACCTAACTTTTAAATATTTAATTATCACTTTTGTTCTAGAATTACTCCATTAGATAACGAGGATAGCCTGAGTTTGATTAAAACGGTAAGTAAGCTGCTCAGTATTCTGATTATACATGTTATTAGAAAATAGAGGTTGAGTGGCTTTTTTTTATGGGGCATGCTGAGATTTTTATCTATGTGAATACAAATGTAGGGGAGAGATGAGACTGACTTCATATTAAAACTCAATCTTTGGTTTCAGGATCTGAAATATAACAGTGGAATTTGGAATAAAACATTAATGTAGAGTTACGATCTCAGTCTTTCCACCACAATATAGAAGCAGTGTTTTGGGAGGTTTAACACACAGATTTTGGGGCTTCAGTTGAAATGTTTCAAGTTCTGCTTTCTCTTCCTTTCTGTCCAACTGTTTGATTGCTGCAGGCGTCTATGATGGTATTTGACATTCCAGACTTGCTCACAGGAAGAGGATGCTTGGGATCTGTTGTCTTTTCAGAGTCCTTTCTAACCTCACAGATACAAGTAAAAGAAAAAGGTAACTATTTTATATTTTAACACCAGTGTTGTCATTCGTTTAGCTGTGGTGTGATGGAAGAGCAAAAGGGCTTTGGATGAATGTTATTACTGTTACCATTATGGTTTTAAGCCTTTGGGTTAATTAAACAACCTAAACATTTCATCTTGCTAGTAACGAATATCCTAAGTATCAGATTTCTCTAATCTCTCTGAAAGGAGTTTGGGTTTTATGTCTGGCTTGTGATATGGCAGAGTTGAGGTGTAAAAAATTCAAGTGTAATAGTACCCTTCGTAAATTTTCTTCAATCTCAGTGCATGTTTTCTGTTGTATGAGAAAATTGAAACCGCTCTCTTCCATCACTTCTGTAACACATTTTATATTATCTTTAAATTTCAGTTGCTCTTTGCTTAGAAGAGATGAAACAAAACTAAAAAAAGATATGATTTTTAGTCAGTTTGTTTTTGGAACACTCTTGCATTTAAAATACAGGATACTGAGTGAATTCCGTAACTTTAAAGTGCATATTTTCCAGATTGTTTGCATGTGACAAAGTTAGATAGTTATTGAGGTTGTCTGAACAATATTTATGAACTCTTGTATCCAAGCAGACTGTGGGTTTCTAGCCATGGGATTTGGAACACTTTTGGTGGGGAGGAGAGCAAAGGAAGAAGCCATATACGAAGAGCAGAATAAAAGCAGGGTTTCTTTGGTGTTGTGTAGCAGCTCTGTGTATGCTACAGCATAAGAACTCTGGGAGCTGTGAAAGCTTCACTTAAACACTTATAAGTTCTTAAAATACTGAGGAGACTTCCATGTTTCCTAAAGAAATATCAAGTCGTTAAAGTAACTTATTGAACAGTCTGAAGTATATGGATGCTATTATACTACTTTGCTTTCCATTTACTTCCCTGCAGATGGCAGCATTAATTCAGAAACCAGCCACATAATACTGACTGCAGCTATCCCAAGATATGCTTCTTGGCTGGTTAGTACACAAACTTATTTGAATTTTTTTCTATACATACAGATTCATAAATGAAAATTTGTTACTAAAGTAATGCTGTATGAGGAAAAAGTATGGAACTTGGACCCTGGAACAGAATTTTAATATATTAATGCTATTCTGATTATTGAATTTGGACATGAAGTGGAAACAGGCTGGTGGTTCCATTCATAGCACAAGTTTTAAATGGTTTAATTTTCACCATTTCCATATTTTTAGCTGTGTAAATTTTTAGCTGGGTGTTTTTCAAGTACACAGTGTGACTTTTGAAAATCCTGTTTATTGTGGGGCACTTTAGATCACTTAAATGTTTGCCCCGACAGAAAGAAAGATCTGCTTCCAGACCTCTAATGTACTACACTGTTAGAGGTGTAATTCCAATGAATGTTATGAAGTTGGACAACATTTATGCCCTTTAGCAATCCATATTTAAACACTTTAACAGTAATGAAAAATGAGACTGAATGGAATTCACTACTTTGTGTCTGTACAATATTGTTTTAGTCTATAAAACAATTTAATGGGGAGTATCCCCTTGAATGTGTTTCAAGGAACTGTTTCAGTCCCACGGTAGCACTGTATTGAAGAGCACAAAGCTGTCTTTGAAGCACTTTGGTCTCAGGACTTTATCTATCTGTGGTACCTAAGGTTCTTCTTTGCCTTGAATCTTCTTTAACGCTTTTTCTTTAACATTAGACTTGCTTTATCTACTAACAATATAAATGGAAACTGTTTCTGGCTACAGGTTGAAGACAGCGATGTGAAACTGTCTGAAAAGGCACAGCATATATTGAAGGTAAAGTTAAAATTTTTGTTAAACTATAGAAGTTACACTTCCAAGAACCAGTATTCTAAAAATCTTAGCTGGTAGCAAAACTGTTTTTTATTATGTTTGTTACTCTTCTTCTATGAAAGACTTGCCTGTTCTACACTGTCTCTTTCAAAATTTGGCCTACAAAAAAATACATTGTGTGTAAAAGCTTGAGGTTTTCTTTATTTCAAAGAATGACAAGACCCAAGAGCAAAAGAAGTTCTAATAAAGCTATGATTTCATGGAAGTCCTACTAAGTAGTACCCATGGAGCTCATGTGTTTCAAAAAAACCCCAAAACTCAATGCCACTCTACATGCAACTTTCTTTTAACTTAATTAGCATGCTAAATGTCTAAAGGAAAACACTTCAAGCACGATGAAAAAGACAAGAATTTGGGATCTGGGAACATCTTAAACCACATGAGTTTTGCATTTGTGGTTTAATTTGTGGTCACCAGAAATCTTCCTTATAAATAGATTTATTTTCCTGTAATATACTTTTAGTTCAGTAGATTGACAATCTAAAACCAAAAAGCTATGCCTTGTGGTTGTGACAATGACTTGTAACTTAATAGCTGCTGGCAAAACCAGAATGGGGGGGAAGTGCTTTTAAAAATTACACTCTTGACATGTTGTCTTTCACTAGTTCTTCTGTATCAATGCAGTTTAAAACGCTTAAAAAAAAAATTAAATCTGACAGATGCTGTTTAAAAAAATCTTTTCTCTTGAAGCAAAAGCATAAGAAAAAATTCTTGCCTGGATTACAATCCTTGGTCCAGTCTGTGATACTACTGTTTGTTTTTCCTGTTCAGGAAGACAAATCTTTTCTGGGCACTTTACTCACAGGAGGCGATGGAGCATATATTTATTCTAGCAGTCCTCATGCCACGCCTGTAGAAGGTGAGATGTATTCTTTTTTTAACAACATAAAGAGTTGGTCCACTTTTTCTGGTCTTGTTTTTTTTATCTTTATAACCATAAGAAAAATGCACGGTTTCTGGGAGTCACGTATCTGGTGAGCCTACCTATACCATCTTAAGCTTTCTTTCCATTCGCCTTTACAAGTTTCTCTTGTTAAACTCCATGTCTTATTTTTTGTCCCCAACCTCTGTTTAAAAGTCCTAGTGCTAGAAGAAGGATTTCTGGTAGAGCTATAGGCTTGCTTTTGAGTCACATTGGACTCTTACGTGATTGACAATAAGGCTTTGCCAACATGGGAGGTGGCTTTTTTTCCCACAGTTAACGTTCAAAAGCAGACACAAACTGTTAGCTTCTATCCTTAATAGGTGATGTGCCATATGTTCTCTGCCTCTTCTTTATATGAACATTTGGTTGGAAAAATTGGGCATTAGAGTAGTGACAGGATGCCATGAGCTCACAGCTCAAGAAGTGAAGGCAAATATGAACCTTTTGGGCAATGTCATACGCTGCCTGTGAAGTAGGGTGGAACTGGAATGGTTTTGCTTCTAAATTTATTCACAGCCTTGTGTTCTTTTCTCCTACCAAAGTCTCCTCCTGGAGCTAACGTGCTGTTCCAGTTTTGTTTTTTTTTTTCCATTGTCATTTTCACTCAAGGACTTCAGTGCTTGTTAGCACAGATGCTCCATGTATTACAGAACGATGCTTGATCTTCGCCCTTTTCATATCCAGTCAAGTTTCCTGACACTTCCTGACAAGTTTCCTGCTTCCTGACACAAGTTTACTAGCAACAGTTTTAGATAATTCCTCCTCTTTTGGTGAATTTTCCTCAAGAATTTAAGTAACATGAATATCCCAGTATTACAACTCTAGACAATTTGGGAGGACTGTTAGGAGGGGTTGCCCTCAATTCACAGCCTTGCATTAATGTGCCTTGCTTTGCCTTGAACCAGTAGATAAATTTTAAAGCATAATATTTTTGTATTCCATTGTACAGGGAAGCTACTGTTGTCACAGTACTGATGTATAGCAGAAGATAACGAATATCTAACGTCTAAGTGCTTAGGTATTAGCTGACAATTTTTAGAGGAAAATCTTTAGCTTTATTGTTTTTGTAGTTATGCAATGTAGTGTTGAGGATAAATAGTGATGTACAAAGCAATTAAACAGCAACCTTCACATACCAGAATTCACAGAATTGAACAGATTGTAGAGAAAGAAGGTTAATGCAGAATAATATATTTAGCTATAATATGTGCTGTTGGGTACATGTTCACTCAGTAAATAACTAGAGAATGGCGAAATATTTTTTTTCTCGCTTTGTGAAAACTGTCTGTGTGTGTCCCAGTGGAGCAATTTACTTTTTCCCTTTTTTGGGGAGATTTGTGAAGTTAAATGTTGTGATAACTCTTGGGATGGAGAGTTATAAGTAGGTGGTATAAGGACTATTATGTAACACTTCAACGAGTGAGATATTTTCTGAGGTGTCAGATGAAAACGAACTTAATCTTGTTCCCTTTCACGTATGCTACGAGGCAGTGTGCTCTGCTCTAATTTGGGCTCTACTGAGGTTGCAGCTATGTAGTCTGGTAAGATTAGGTGCCAAAGGTGCTGTCAGGCACTCATCTTCTCTCTGTGTCACTTGTCTTACTGTAATAAGGTACACATTCATGACTAAAATGCATCAAAGAAAGTTCAGGCTGTTAAAACTTTTCCCTTGTATGCTAATACCTCTGCTGTGTTACGGATTTTTGAAGGATGAACTTAACTGTGTCAGTCAATCTTGCCAATTAAACTCTTTTGTGCTTAATCACTTGTGGGAAATATACAACTAATATATCAAGGTGTTCTTGATACAATTCACAGGTTTCCATGTTAAAGGAAACTGGTTTAGTTTGAATTAATTAATACTCTTCTCGGCTTGCTTTTCTGTTACAAAAGATTCAACATTTCTGGTTTCCTTTCTTTCTCCATTGACACATTCTCTGTGAAGTTGATATTCTGTGAGATTTGACAGAAATGTAGTTGTATTTTGCATTTTTCTTCCTAAACCACTCAGTAGAAGGCACAAACCTGTGCTGTGGCTTGGATTTTGTGAGCACTGGAAGCATCAGTAATGAACATACTGTATATGTAAACTATCAAACCTCCACATCTATGTAATTGCATACAGCTTTGTCTCCATTCTACTTGATCTGAATTTGGACCATGACTTTGTGGTTGTAGTGTTTCTCAATTTAATGGTAGCTCTCTCTCCAATGCAATTTTTATGTTAACTAGAAGTTTCAGTCTAAAGCAGTTAGGTTCATAGTTAGTAGAGCCTATATGTTTTTTAGGTAACTGTTGAAATCGCATATCTAAGTATGGTGATTTGATTTTTGTATCAAGCTCTTTTTTATTAGAATGAAGTCTTAATACTGAACAATTTTTAAGATCTTATTCTAAGTTGTCATTTCAAGAGGAAAACTTCTTTGTTTATTGTTTTTTTGGAGTGTTGTTTGATTAAGCTAGATGTGCAGTCATGTTTAGCTATATGTTTTAGTTACTTTTGCTGCTTGGCTTCTTTTAAAAGGTAACTGAGTAATGCCATTTTTTTCTTTGTGTCTTTTTTTCTTTACAGAAAATATTTAACCTTTCCCTTTTGCTGACTCACATGCTTTTCTGTATGGAATGCGATCCAACTTTCAATGCATGGTCTAGCACTGGTAGCAGAGGTCCAGCTGGCAGCCCCTGCTTAGTCATTTGTTCATGGCTTTCTTAGGAGTGTTGGAAATTAGCTTTTTGCTGATGTCAGTTTCTAGTGCTTTGGTGGGATTGTGTTTTTTATCCATTTATCCATCTAGCCTTGCTCTTTCTCATTTTCCAGCTGCTCTTCCTGGTCATGTAGGTTTGTTAAGAACCAAAGTATCTGTAAATTCACAAGAAAAATGGAGGTAAAATGAATGCTGTGTCACTCTCGATTGCCACTAGAATGTTAGGTTCCAGGGAAGTTGCTAGTCCAGTACCAGTTGTCTTTATATGCAAAATAAAATGCAAATCTGTAAGTAAAGGGCTTTTCTGACCAACGTGTCACAATGTTTAAATTTTCAGTGGTTTTGTATGTAAGTTTTTCTTGAGTTCGTGTTTTGTCAGTTTTACATTTCTGGAAGTTTGCAATTTAACATGATGGAATCTTTTTTTAACTTCCAAAAAAAAAAAAAAGCCACAGAATATATATGTTAAATGGGCTCCAGGGAACAAGATTAAGTCAAATGCAATCATAGTCGTGATTCCTGTCCTTGATAGTGAGATCAGTAGAAATTGAATGGTAGTGCTCTGAATGCTGTCTAGATACTAACCCAAATTTTTACTCAAATGTACTGCATGTTAAATATAACAAAATTCTACAAGAACAGAGATTTCTTCCTCGGAAGGAGTGTTCATCACAGGGTGATGAAAAATTGATATATACCTAATAATTTTTTTTTCCTCTTTCAAATTCTAGGCAAATTGTACTTCTTTTCAGATGGCATCCTCTTTTCTGATCCCCATCACGGCAGCATCTCCATTTCTAAGAACCATATGAATTCCATTTCTCTCTATGATGGGGTGAGTTTTGTGTTTGCTCCTATTGTCACTAACTTTTTATCAATTTTTAGCAATACTTCTGTAGGGTACCAGTACAAAGTTTCAAATTCAGTTGCAGTTTTATAAGCGTGTGTGTAAAACTGTAGCAACTAACTGGTTCAGATCTCTACGCTTTTGGTATTGGTTGGCTTAACCAATTTCTGATTAGCTAAACTGTAAGGAGGAGAGAATTTTGTATTAGACTGAGTTATCAATGTGGCCTTAATAGTGGAGTAATGGAAATTTGCTTTTTATTAAAAGAAAAACTGCAGACCATAGCATTTGTAAAATATCTAGCAGTCTTAAGTAGTGGATAGAGAAAAGCCCAAGGCATTGTGAAGTTCTATGGTGTGTTGGAGGATGAAATGCTACCTTCTATTTAAAATATATTTAACCTTTAGCCAAATGTTCGTGGCGGTGTACTAGCTATCTCTGGAGAGGTCACGAGCAGTGTCTGTCTACTGTCTTAGAGCATTGTGTAACTGACAGGGTGAAGGGAATGACTGGTTCATGTTTTCCAAGCTGAGAAGTGAGAAGGAAAAGCATGTTGCATGTAATTACACGTATTCTGAGTAATTACAGTAGAAGACTCAATGTTAGGTGTAGACTTCTGCCATTCCTGTGATCAATTTATATTATTTCACTTGGCCAGCTTGCCCCACTAATGGTTTGGTCTTCTGGCTTAGTGGGGATTGAGGCTTAGGTTAATGATGGCAACTCAGCTTTTTTTCTTTTTCCAAGGCAGATACGCTGGGTTAACTATCACTTTTTCAGAATGGAAAAGAGATTATATTGGTTGGCTATTGTTTCCTAAGCACTGAAAAAATATTAAATCTCTGTTTCCTTTAGTTTCTATTTTCTTCAGGTACAGTATTACATATCTGTGTAGTGACCTCCAGAAAGCATTGTGTTGCTATGATTTCATCATATAATGGAGGAAGCCAGTAAAATACAATAAAAGTGTGTGATTCAATTGAGATGAAAACACAACCGTGAAGGGAATCTTACCTTAGCTGCCTTTTCTTGTATATCATATTGAGTGCCCCTTGGTAGTTTAAGAAGCTATTTTAACACTGGCCTTCCTTCTATTGTTTGATTCAAGACACTCACTTTCATAAAACTAGCTATTTATGGGACCTGGCTATCGTTCTTGAACTGATGCCAGATTTTTGTGTAAAGCTAAACCTTGACAGAGAGCATTTTATTGTTCGGCTGACTTGGCATAATACCAGGGTGGAGAGCTTAAAATGTTAAGAAGTGACAGGAGTAGAAGGGTAATTGTTAGTATGCTTTTTCCAAAAGTTATTGCAACAACAATATTAGTGGAAAAGAAAGGATAATTTAATGCTAGGATTAAAATAAAAGATATAAAGACTTTAAGTGATGCAAAGTACAGTTTCCTAGCAGCTCTGTCACCTTACCTGCTAGGTGCTTCTCTTTTTAACTTGGAGGCAGAAGTGCAAACATTTTCAACGCGTGTTGCAGACGTCTCTATTATGAGAAGTTGGGGACCTAGCTGCCACCTAAGTCCTTGAGGCTCATAGACATCGAGTGCATGGAGGACAGGGTAGATTCCTCACAAAACCGTACCTTGAAGGTCTAAAGCAGAAATCATCCCAGTCTTAGCGGAGTCAAACATAAACATCCCATCTTGTAACGCAGCACTACTTGTAGCTTAGTACCAGCCATCCTGGGAGTAAAAGAAAACCCAACAGGCTGTGCTGCCACCCAGTGTATCCTCTTTCCTTCTATAGTTGTTCAGTATCTCAATAAACTGTATCAAGATATACTTACTGTATAGAGCTTAACATGCTGCGATGTGCTCGGTTTTAAGATACTGTTTAAGACCAAGTATTTCAGCTTGTAAGTATCTGAAACCATTCATTTTGGACATTAATCAAGTGACCAAATATTAGTAAGTAAGACTTAGATTTCACAACAATATTAAGATCTTGTAAAACTTTGAACTGGATTCTTTTAACCTAATGTCCATGGGGGTTATGGCTACTTCTTTTCAGCTTTTTTCAATTTGTGAAACCCTAAATACTTTCCAGGAGGAGGAGCACATTCTGTTGGACACTTGACATGCAGATTGCAGCATGTATGAGTTAGCTTTTTAGTCCACTTCTTATGAAATCTGTAAGCTATCCTTTAGAACCCAGAATCTGTGGACCATGTTCCAAAAGCTATTTTCTCTTAAGAGAAATTGTTCTGTCTTGGGAGAACATTTTGGTATGTTCTTCAGTAACCTCAATGACTTTGGGAGGATTACTTTTATAATTAATCCCTCAGCACAGAATAGAGATTCTGTTTGCAAATTTCTTTGAATTGATACTGATTCTTATGTAAGTGTTCCTCAACTTGAGTTTTTTCTTTTTGAAAATTAGTAAGTAGAGTTTTTTTTGTCCACTTCTCCCATTAAAAGGGAGATGGATGGTACTCAATTTCTGATTTGAACTCTAAGTAATGGAATCCCCATTTTTCAGGGGTATTTCATGCTGCTGTATTTTACTCTCTCTAATACTTTGTGTGAAAAGAGTCACAAGTCAAAGTCTGAGCATAAACCACTTCAGCATCCTGCAGAGTTGTATATAAATGCCTGTGTTGAAATAAGGAAAACCAAGGGTCAGTCTTGCTCTATTAGAAGAAAAATTGACAACCTGAGCTCATTGCTTCTGAGAGACACCAATCTTGGGGGCTCTAGCTTTGTGTTGGTGAAGACATAATTCAGGTGAAGAAGCAAAGGATTTTGTAGAACTCATGCTCATCAAAGAATCCAAGAGAAACAGGACACGTTCAACATGCAAGTGACCTACACTTTAAATTGCAGGCCTGATAGTTGTATCTCTTTGGAGTGCGATTCCTTTCAGGTCAGAAACTCAAAAGCCATGGTATAAAAAAAATGTTTGCAATAGCACCATGCCATCCTTCTGATCTTTTTAGCTGACATTTAATTCATTCTTCCAGCGTATTTGTGTCAGAGGGGATGTGTGGGTATAGATGAAGGTGGCTTTGTTCTGAAGCATTAGCAGAGGAAATGGCTAAAGGTCTAGTTTCTAGTGGAGGGAAAAGAATGGATATTAAAATGCAAGCATTTCTTTTCAAGACAAGACAAACCTTAGGTGCTTAGAACAATCTCAGATGCTTTCTTTAAAGCTTATGTTATCTCTAATACCTGCAAAATAGAAACTGAGGAGTAATGTAAGTGACTACAGTTGATTCTTCTCCTCCATACCTGGGCTATGGAAGCTAATGAATGTTTAGATCTTTATGCGTGCCTAGCTATGACTGTAGTAGTTCTCTTCTAATCACTGCTATTTAATGTATTAAGCCTTTTTTTCACCTTCAATAACTGTTAATTTTAATTTGTCCTGTTTCTTTGTTTTCTAGGATTCCAACAGTATTGTTGCTGCTGTCTTTATAGATATCAAAAGTTCCTTGCTTGCTCATCTACCAATTGAATTCCGTACCCGAGACAACTTTTTGATGATTGCAATTTTCCCCAAAACAAAGATTTATAAAGCTTTTTATGCACAGGTAAAGTAAAAAAAAACCAACATTGGTTTGGATGAGGGAGGGAAACCACACAATTATTCTTTATTTCAGATGAGAGGCAAGGGTTAATTTGTTGATGTCCATATTAACTAATTAAATTTGTAAATGAGACAACGTTTATTTCTCTTATTAGTTGAGCTACTAAAGCTTACTACCTGATAAGTAAATGCAGGAAAGGTTAAAGTTCAAGGTCTTTCTTGCATCAGTCTTAACCAGCAAAACTTCTTCCTGTGTTTCATTGAAGAAGCACAGTTTAGGAAAGCAGAGGGGCAGCTAATACTAAAAACTAAACTTTTTAACATGGGGCAGTAGCCATAGATTGCAGCTTTGAAGATTCAGACTGAGTGTTAGCAGGAGGTTGGTGCAGTGACTGAAACAGATTATTCAGACAACGAATCTCCACCTTTGAAGACTTTGAAAACTTGGCTGGACAAAGTCATGGCTGAGTTGATCCGTACTGCCAGCAGTAGTCCCGCTTGGAGCAGGAGGTGTGTCTGGAGACCTCCAGAGGCTCTCTTCCAAACAGAAGCTCTGATTCTCTGTGTGACCTATGGCATGTGGCTTGCAGACTCAAGATTGTCATGGAGTGGACTGCTCTGCCGTGTAGACCTTCCCAGTCCTTCCTAGAAGCATTATAGCTCTTGATCTTAGGAACTTAGATGTGTGAGAAACTTTGATTTATGTATGCATTTCTAGCGATTGTGTTGCTCGTTAAGTTTAATGCTTACCATGTGCTTTCATTTTTGTCTTCTGAAGCCAGGGAGTGCTCTAAAAGCTTGTTTTCTAGTAGTTGCATTTTAAATGTAGCACTGGTGTATAATTGGCTATAGCAATTGTATGTAGTGGCAGAGGTTCTATTGTGTTTTTTTGTGGTTAGACACATTTGGATCGTGATCCTTAGGGAAGTTTGTTAAAGTCTTTAAGTATCCCATATGGCATTGTATTATTCTCCAAGTAGACTGACTTCTTGCATTGTAATGCAGAGGCTTTTAATAAACAAAACTTTATAACAATAGCACTTTTGAGGAAATGAGCCTGGAGATTTTAGGACTTCACAAGGGTTTTAGTATGCGATCATAACACTGGACTGGAAAAGACCACCTAGCTCAGTGAGTACAGTCCCCACTGATAGTATTAATATTACCATAAAACTTTTCCTCCTTTTATCTGATGAAGTGTTTCGATTCTTCCCGCTGTTCCACTGTGTGAGTGGTTGGGAAAAATTATTGTGAAAAATGACAATGGCCGTTGCCTTTACTTACTAAAAGAAGGGAAATACCGAACATTTAAATGACTGTGTGATTCATCTGAATCTGATTTCTAGGTTCAGAATGCCATTCATATTAATGTGACTTGGCTAGAGCAATAGGATGTAAGCCAAAACACTGTTCCCTAGAGAAATGAAGGGCTCCCTTTTCTTTTGCAAAAGAACAGAGTTTTTCTTAATTATCTAGAAATGATAGCTGCAATCTTACTTCATGAAAATTACAGTATTACTTAAAGGAAACACATTAATTCAGTTCCTGTTGTACAGCAATTGGACTATAAATACCTAACCTTTTTATAAGTGGAGGATGCTATGACTAAAAGATACACACAAATGGTACTCTTACTTTGGTGGGTAAATCTTTTTCGATGGATTTTTTTTATTTTATTTTATTTTATTTTTTTTTTTTTTCTCCCCTAGCTTTTTTTGTGGGGGGAATTTTTTTTTTTGTTTTTTTTTTTTTTTTTTTTTTTTTTTTTTTTTTTTTTTTTTTTTTCTCCCCTAGCTATGAAGATGGGGGGTGGAAAAGTAGACCATTTCAGTAAAGACACTTAAAGCAGTTCCACTCTAGCCAAAGAGGAGCTTATAAAACCTGATTTGTGGAGACTTCTTCCGTATTTTGAGAGAACCAGTACTCTGGAAGATTTACTGGCTAGTTAAAATGCATCTATTTTTTTAGCTGAAAAAAACCAATTCCAAAACAAATGTAAAACAAATTTTGCAAAATCATGACTATTATGCATGGGTCTGGTTTGTTCCAGGTTTTCTCTTCGTGGCAAAACCAGGCAAACTCAGGATTATCTTTAAGGGTTGTCCAGGAAGACTTTCTGTCTGTGGAACAAAAGAGACTGTAAGTTTATGCCATTTACTCCAGTGCAATTAGACATTAACTGTGTGCTACAATCAGAAAAATGCTGTCACTCATTGAAGATTTTGACGTTGATTCAGAAATGAATCGTTGCACTCAGTGCAACACTCACTCTATTTTTTTTTTTTTTTCTTGCTACTTAATATGTAGCCCTCTGGTTTAAAGAAGATATATTTCTAGATTTCTCCTTGAACTAACCAATTAGTTATTTTGCTTGGTTTAGGCATTCCTGTGCTCAGAAGCTATTTGATGCCATGTCTTTTTCTTCTGGGGAAAGATGCAGGGAGCTGAAAATATCTGCTGCCCTTCCAGAGTTAGAGAGGTGAGAAATTATTTTTGTTTCAAGGGATCAGTATTGTATGTAATAATATTACAAAAATATTTTGATATATGTAATACTTGCCTAAAAATTGCTTATTTAATAACTCTGTCTTCACACTAGATATTTTTATTCTGGGATGAATTCTTTCCTCTGTAGGAAGCCTCTCTGTGACCTTTTAAGAGCCTTGGTAATTTCCCAACTGTTTATGTGAATGAAGTCTTTTAGTCTTGATTGTAAGAAAATATAAATTTTCTTTTTGAAAGGTTTGTGCAACATTTTACTGTCAGCAGCATCAGTCATGAGCCAATAATGCGAGCACATCTTCCTGTTTTATTGCAACAGTCAGAAATCATTCCTGATAGCAAAGCAGAAAATGACAAGGTAAGGAAGCAACCCAACAATACTTCCTATCCCTAGTAGAGAGTATTTAGCAAATTAGTTCTGTTGCAGGCAATGCAGTAAAGTACTGATGTATGTTTAACCATGCGCTCTGCCACCTCCTCCAACACCACCAGTTCACACTGAACTCACTTCAAGTCTGTTTCTTAGAATAAATTGCTCTGTCCTGTTTCCCTGGTTATATTACTTAATATTTTTTTTCACTTAAAGAGTCCTTTGGAAGTACTAATGGCTCTTCAGCCTGATAAAACAGAGGCAGAAAATGAGAAATAGATCTTCAAGTGAACAGTTTTCTCTAGTGTCCAGAGAGAGTTACCCCTAAAACAGTAGCTTGTTTTTTATGAATTGCTGAATAATTTAACTGAATTGTTCTCTGGAACATAAAAGTCCTTTAAATAGCATAGAGGTAGCACATGGTATTTAACATTTGCTGATATTATCTGTAGAACACTTAGTTCTCTATAGGGGCAATAGCAATTGTCAAATTTGAATGCTTTAAATAGCATCTTCAGAGAAAACATTTCTTTGTAACTTCCCAGCATTTGAAATCTGCTGTAAGCAAGAAAGTCAAAGCAGCAGGAATATAGTCTTTCTCTTTGAATATTGCAATAAGGTGTCAGCCTTATTTCCTGGAATCTAGTTCATAGACCACACTGACGCTTAAATTAAGTATTAATTAATAAACCTTTATTAATGTTTTAAAATCTGGTTTTGAGGTTAGTTAAACTGTCTTTGTGTGTGTTTAAAAAAATAAAAATCTTCCTATAATGTTCATACCAAATTCTATAAAACATGCAAACGTAATAACTGATTTTTCTGAGGTAGTTCTCTCTATATCTGTTGTCATGAATACTCATTTTCTGTGAGTATCCAAAAGTGATTTTGAGGATAGGATACAAATAGTCTGCAGACTATTCTATATCTTCAAATACCATGTGGAAACTAGAAGAGGTCATTTTTCTGTTAGTAGCAGGATGGTATGCAGTGTGATGGCTTATCACCAGTGACATCATTTCTTAAGTTCATCGCAACGCAGAGAGTTGTTGTTTTAGTCATCTGTCCTCTAGGGCTCATTTTCTTCTCTAGCCCACTTGAGTTCATTGTGTAGAGCTATATCTGTATACTTTGGGGATATTCTCTGACTTCTTATCAGTGTTTATTTGCTATGGTCCCTCTCTAAATACCACAAGAAATACACATAATGGAAACAGAGATGCTTTATGAGAAAAGCTGCTGGTATATTAGAGCTGTTACTGTGCAGCCTCTTGCCAGTCCTACTCAAAATGCATCTTTGCTGGAATAAATTTTATATGTGGCATGCTCGGTACAATATAAAAAACCTGGAGTTGCTCTTTCTGTTTGAAAGACTATTTGACATACACCATCATTTTTTGAACCATTTTGCTCAAATACTGTTCTGTGTATTTGAATGTACCCTTTTCATTATAGGAAACGTAAGCTATTTGGTGTGTCTTGGCAGTGTTTTTTCTGACATTTGCATTAATACTTACACTTCAGGCTATATTTTAATGTAAAAGATTTGAAAATACGGTTTGCTGTATTTGCACAGAATTTAATGTATGAAAACCAAGAGAAAACGTGTCTTTCTAAAATGATGCATATCTGAGTAATTGCATAAGCACAATTACAGTTCTACACTATATTGCTGTTTCTGTGATTAGTGTCACTTAATTTTGTCACTTAGGCTTCTATCTTGATAAGATCTTAATGTGTGTGCAATCCTTGCTCATTTCCAGTCTTCAAGTTGCCCCCCTTTTTAATCTATTTCCTGTGTTTTAGGTGGTTATCACCATTATAACTGGTCTTCCAGGATGTCATTGCAGCGATCTGTGCGGTTTTCTTGTAACTTTTAACAAGGAGTATGGAAGGTTTGTATACTTCTGGTTTTACAGTTCAAAGCAATGGTCATATTAATCAACAAAGAACTACTCAACATGAAAGAAATGAAACTATCAATGTTTCACTTAATATGATTTTGATTTTTTTCATATCCCAGTTTCTATTTTGTAAACAGATGTGCTATCAGAATTAATTCAGTAAACATTATGAGGCACCTTTAACTAGTTCTAGCACACTGGTGGGTAGATATTGCTTTCATTCTGTTACTTCAGGTGTCTCACTTAACTGTGTTGCGCCAGGTAGATTTGCCCTTAGATTTTAGACATTTAGACAAGAAAGGTAGCACAGAAAGTTTCTTTGTTGGTATTCCATATTAAGAATACCACAGGTATCACTGTAGGTCTATGATGTGTGTCTGGAGCTATCACTGATGCTACAAACAGTTGAGAATAATCTTAGAAGGGCCAAATGAATCCTGCCTTAAACAGGTATGGAAGTTGTCACAACTTGAAGAAAACGGGTGAAGAGCTTCCATTTATTGACTTGTGTAGCAAGTCTAAAATGCATTCTTCTCAGAAAAAAGACTGTGGTAACACTCCTTGCTACAGCGTTGTTTTTAATCTGACCTGGTTTCCATTCTACAGTAGCAAGACATTATCCAGGACATCTATTACTATGGCAATAAGATAAATGTACTGTAGGAATTTGCCATTCTGTTGGTATAGCTTCTAGAAAATAAAAAAAAAAAAATTCTTAGCCTTTTAAATCTTAGACACCTTAGCACTTAGTCTTAGTAATGTTCTGGACTGTTTCTTTGTATTACTGTTAACTCAGTATCTTGATACTAGCAAGTTGATTCAGAACGGTTTTCTGGTCCTGTTTTTAGGACAAACATGTAAGGTGCTTTTTGAATGTTCTGTAATCGCCTTGCATTTCATCATGTTTTCCTCCAAATGTCATCATTATTTTTTATTTTTACAGTGAAATATTTTCATGCCTAGAGCCTTTGAATCGGATTCATACAATTTTTATTTATTGTATCACTAACAAAGATCAGAATTACTCAGATGATGTACTGCTTTGAAGAAGCTGTTGAACATTGTTTTATTAAAAAACAACAACAAAAACCCACAAAACCTTTTGGCAATAATATAAAGAATGTGCTTGTGCTGGAAATGATAGCCAAGTAAATTCCTCTTTCCCATGTGGTATGAGAAATGCGGAATCTTAGGGCTCATCAAATTTATTTTTGACTGTTGGTTGAAAATGAAGAGAAAACAGCAATATTATGTCATAGAATATTAACTTCTTTCCCCATTTTCTGTTGTTTAGGTGGATAGTTTATCGGCAGACTATGGATAGTCCTGAATGTTTCAGTGCAACCCACTTCCAGCGTTACCTCTCCAGTGTCCTGGAGGCTCAGCAAAATCACAGCGTCCGTCAGTCCACTTATGCTAAAAAGAATAAACGTCTCTTAGTGGTCTTGCAAGGGTAAATGTTTGAAACTGAACTTTTGCATATTGTTCCTATTTCCAAGGCATTTTTAAACTTTCTCATCATGCTGAAGCAGTCAGATTTCTGTGCTAAAGTGTGGTATTCTGTGAGTTCTGTTTTATCTACGTACTAGATTCAGCTTTTCTGCAACCTGTTAATTTTATTGCTTTTACTGCATTGGAAAAAAGGTATCTGTAGTCTTCCTTCAATTGTATGGAAGAACAGACTGCATTTGGTGGTTCTTCCATATCTGGGGATGGATTGTGATTTTTTTGGCTTTTCAAAAGAAGTTTTCTTGTCCTTTCCAGCTGCATCTTTGCCTGTTCTTAAATGGCACTTTATTGGTGCAGCTGTGTGTGGTTTGGTGTTGGTTTTTGTGTTGGTTTTGTTTTTCCGTTCCCCCCCTCCCTTGAAGGTCCTAGATAGAGGTATTTGCCCTTCAAAGGCTGATGAGACTTCATCATGCTGGTTATCTGTCCTTAAAGACTGCTGGGGAACTGGTTGTCTGTCTTTAAAAGCATAGATTTCGATGAGATCAACAGAGCAGATATAGCTTGAGATTGTTATAAATTGCACTCCAGAGCTGCAGGTGGATATTACTGAATATTATCTGCTACAGCATTATGTTAATATTAAGAGGGAGTGTTGTGTGTTGTAGTCCCTCTTAGTACACTAATGAATTACTGTATATTTTCCCAACAGACTTGTATTTTGCTGATAACAAAATGAAAGGGAAGCATGGCCAGCAGGTCAAGGGAGATGATTCCTCCCCTCTACTCTGTGCTGGTGAGACCCCACCTGGAGTACTGTATCCAGCTCTGGGGCTCTCAGCACAGAAAAGACATGGACCTCTTTGTGGCCCTCCTCTGGACCTGCTCCAAAATAATCAGAGGGATGGAACACCTCTCTTACAAGGACAGGCTGAGAGAGTTGGGGTTTGTTCAGCCTGGAGAAAAGAAGGCTCTAGGGAGATCTTTTGCAGCCTTCCAGTGCTTAAAGAGGGCTTATAAGAAAGATGAGCACAAACACTTTTTTCAGGGCTTATGGTGATAGGACAAGGGGTAATGGTTTTTAAACTAAAAGAGGATAGATTGAGACTAGGTAGAAGGAAGAAAAATTTTACCATGAGGGTGGTGAACCACGGGACCAGGTTGCCCAGAGAGGTGGTAGATGCCCCATTCCTGGAAATATTCAAGGTCAGGTTGGACAGGGCTCTGAGCAACCTATCTAGTTGAAGATGTCCCTGCCCATGGCAGTGGGGTTGGACCTTTAAAGGTCCCTCCCAACCCAAACTATTTTATGATTCTACGATGATGACCTCTAAAACTACTAGCAGAAAGCAGTCAGTCAAAAATACACAACTCACTTGAAAAAAATATGCTATTCGCTTGATACAGCAGGCAATACTGAAGTAAGACTGAATAACATGTTTTCGATAAATGCCAGTTTTCTTGTGGAATAAAGGTAAAGCCATCTGTTTGATGTTTCTGTCTGAAGTCTAGCATTTGTGAAATAGTATTGTCTGCTGTGTGTTTGCCCACTCTGTTTCTGAGTCATTAGCTGGTAACATAAACTAGCTTGAGGGAAGTGCTATCCTAACCTGGCTGGAATGGTTTAGGTTCCCAGGCAAGCAAGTGTTCGTATTTTTCACTAAGGGCATGTATATGAAGCTTAGCATTTTCTTCATTATGATCCATTGTGATAGTGCTAAACAGCATGTTTTTTTCCACTTCAGAGTCAGATTTTTTTTCTTTAAGTTAGTAGGGGTAGTATAATGTCCAGTGATGTGCAAAATAAATGATATTCTGGTAGCAGCACTGGCTTCAGGAATGTCTAGGTCAGGTATTCCATTCGTTCTGGGTACTTAAGTGTTGGTATAGATAGCTTTAAAGTAGCTGGAATTCCCTAAATAACCCTTTAACTTGATTAAATGACAGTACAGTTTTGAGAGTAGATTGTAACTGGAATAAAAACTCAGGTTCACCTAAACTTTGCTATCATACAGAAGTATAATGAAGCAGTGGCTGGAGTGCTGATTAGAAATGGATGCGTTAATTATAGAAACACACTTAAACTGGAATGCTGATAAGTGAGAGGCGTTGCTTTTTAAAATTTCCTTTTTTTTTCATTTGAACTATACTTGGTGTTTAATATGATTGTCAGTAGGCATAACATGCTTGTATGACATGATACTTTTTGTGCTTCCTGAAAGCTAGACTTTTCAGTTGTTCAGTGGAAAGTTTATACTGCTTTTCTCTGTAGTTATCAATAATTTATTCCTAGTGTTTACTTGCAGTCACCTTAATGTGTGTGGATTTGCCAAGTTAGGTTGGCTTTTTTTAGAAATACAACCTTCTTGCAAGCCATTGATTTCTTACTAGATGTTAAAACGTGTCATTCTGAAACCATATTTCATTTTGTTTTCTTGCAGATATACAGATGTTATTGACGTTGTACAGGCTCTGCAAACTCATCCTGACCCAGATGTGAAGTCGTCTTTCATCATTGGAGCTGTTAATACTTGTGTAGAGCCACTTAGTTGCTACATGGAACATAGGTATACTTTAAAAAATTTTTGCTAGTTTATGAGATCACTTTTGTAATAATTAGAGGTATGTGATGGTTAGTTGCCAATGAACTGTCTTAAATTTCATAAACTTAAAACTGCTAGTTAATTTGTCTTGAATGAACTTTGAAGTGCTGTTTAGTTTATAAGGAAGACACTTGATTTCCACAAGATATACAATTATATATGTTAATAAAAGTTACTCTGGCTAAGGACTCTGTAAAATCTGAACAGTCAACTGTCCTTTCTTATGCTTTTTTAAATCATTCTTTTTATAATTTTTGTGTGAGTATGAAAATTGAGACATGCGTCTCAATGTGGGTTATTGATTGTGTCACTACTCTTGGATATTAAATGAAGACTTTACAGAATTAAAATATGGAACTTATGGGAAGCAGTTTGAAATTTAGTGAAAGAGAATGACAAAGCACGGAAGCAAAAGCATTGCAAGTATTAAAATCTGATATCCTGGGATACTGCAGAGGCAGGGTGGGGAGGAAACGGTACAAAAGCCAAGCCACTGACATTTTTCAATAGTGTGGTTTGGTTGGTGTTCCATAGTATATGTGTGTGCTCCACACTTCAGCAAACATGGGACTAATTTCACAGACTTATCTGTCAAACTGTAATACTTAAATTCTGCAATTATGCCCTGCAGCTGATTTGATAAACGTAAGCTAAAGCAGTTAAAATTTTCAGAGTTTCTAGCATCGCTTCTATTTGTTATAAAGCTCTGCATCACAGCTTAGAGGTGAATTTCCCAGTCATTTTTTGAAAGCACATTCCTTAAACTTCCTAGCTGTTTTTAAAACACTAACCTATACGCTTTGTGTGTTTTTGCTGTAGTCAATAAATAGATGTTACCTTGCTGCTTCTTTTTGTCTCCGTGACAAAGATTGTAAATAAATTATAAAGACTACATAAAATATTGGTGAATTGGTGCTGGAGTGCTGTTTAAACTTGTTCTTTCCATAATTATAGGAAAGACAAGTTCCATTTGTAGGGTTATTTTTTAAACTTACTGATGTGTTACTGATCATAGAACTAAGTAGTATTTATAGCAGCAGTAGCCTGCAATCCTTTGACTAACATTGTTTGTCTCTTGACGTGCAGTAGCAATTGAAAGAAGAGGCTTAGACTGTGCTGTAGACTGTTTGTGTCTCACTTTGGAAGTTTTTTCAGATAAGAATTTACCAAGTAGCTACATACTGCCAATGACAGATATTTCAGTTGGGAAGCTTAGGTGATTTCAATGTGAGAATTGAGAAAAGTGATTTTAATGTCTGACTTGAAACTTTTGCAGTTAAGAAAATCAAAACCCTTTACTGTCTGAGAGTTCATTACTGTAGAGGTCTAGCTCTTTCATGAGCCTCAGGTGAAGCTCTTCCCATTTTGAATATCAAGTCAAGACAGGGGAGAGGTAGTTGAAGGGGGGTGGATAAAATACAATTTCTGGAGCTTTTGTGTGCATGCTAAAGCTCATAAAAATAATTATTGCTTGTCTGACAGAGTACCAGAAATTGTTACGATATGTACAGAAAGCATTATGTACATAAAATCTTTCCATTAAGAATTCCCACCATGTTGGAAGGCACAATTCTTTAGGGCAAGCTTAAAATTCCTATTGTTTAAATAGGAATTAAAGTAATGTCGAAGCCTTTCTGACTTCCTAGAATAGTGAATAGATTGTGTGGTGGGAATTAGCTCTAAATTCCATTAAAGAATTAAAACCATCTACAAAACTAACTTTTGGGGAAGAACTCCCGAAAGACGTAACTGGTGGGAATATTCCAGTTGTATGGATTGAGGAAATAAAACATGAAAATGGTTTGAGTAGTAAGACTCTAGCTGTCAGTGTCTGAAAGAATGTAAATGCTTTACTTAATAATAATATCCATTCTTGAAATGCAAATTTTTGGTTTTTTTAGGCTTCTTTTTCCTAAGTTCTTGGACCAGTGTTCACAAGGTACGTGTCACTTTTCTTGACTTTGAGACATACAGAACAAGTAGTTGAGCTATAAGGCCAAATAAATCCACTGTAAATGCATGTAGGCAAAGGATCATGATAAACTCTTGGACGTAAGAACCATTTCTGGTGAATAATAATCTCTGTTTACACTATTAAACATCATAGGTACCTGGAGAAGATGTAAGAATCTGGAGCATGATGCATTCTGGTTGTCCTGATCTGGAGGATGGCTTTGCTAAGACCATGAGTTGAACTGCTTGCATGAACTATTGTAACTCATGCCAGGTTGTTAATTTAGGAGCAAAATAGATTGTCTTTGAGTTCCATTCTCTTTTGATAAGGCATGAGGAAATGGACGCTGTCCTTTAATTTCTGCTATTATAAAAAGGGAAAAATGAGCTGGTTATCTTATTCCCCATAATCTCTTCTTAATGCAGTGTGGAGGATCCTTGTAGTGTTCATTTAACACTGCAGCAGACAAAAAAGCTCACTTGCAGAAGAACTGTTTCTTACCTGTATTTTTAATTTTATATCCTGACCCTGAAATTACTCATTCACTACATTGTCCTCCTTGTCAGGCTTGGAACTTTGAGCAGGGGTTGGCGTTAAGTGGGATATCATTGTTTCTGACCTATCATCAAATAAATTCTTTTAAGTTTCAAGATCAGAAGCAAACTCGACTATAGTACCTTTACAGTTGTTTTTAACAGTTGTATAGCAGATTCATAACATTAAGAGCAGTACCTTGCATCAATGGGGCAAAAGAGTGTCATGAGCGTTGTACAAACCTGAAACGAGAAAATTTCAATGCAGATACAAGACAAGTATGGGTACAGACAAGTAGGAGTTAACTAGGCTTCTGAGTGGTTACATTGTCCACAAAACTGTCTTGCAAATTTTGGGGGTGAGTAGGGTTAGCCTTTTGCTGCTGCTTTCCAGTTCCCTTCTATTGTGTGACTTTCTGAAAGGTTACCTATGCATATTATCAACATGATGTCATTTAACAACATGACATGACACTTCCTATTTAGAAAGCCACAAGACTAACAGAAACAGAGGAAGATCAGGGAGAACTGATAAAATCTTGAGCAGAGTGACCCACATTAGCAGTTTTGTTTTGTCTCTCCTTTGCATGCTTATTTGAACTAGTTTAAAACAATCTTGCCACTATCTGTGTGCTGCAATTTCTTTTTTGTCTCACTCCTTCCAAATATGTCTCTTTATTTCTTGCACAGCAGCTGTAAGATGACACCTTACTAGTCTAAGGGCACATTGGCATCTCTTGTGTTGTGTTTGAAGTTGTTTTACAGATTAAGACATCACCATTGTTAAGTATGTCCATTGTACATTTGGGAACAAGAAGGATTCATTATTTTTATAAAGCTTACATATTTTTAATCTGTTCCTCCTCTGTTTTTGCTGCTTCTATTGAACATGCAATTCCCCAGGCTGCAAAGATTTTTTTTTTTTTTTTTCCTTTAGATGAAAGTATAAAGAATTAAGCAAAACTGGGTGGTCTTCAAAGTGCAGTAGAAACAGAGATGCCAGTGATAATTTAAATAGAAAAGCTCAAAATTATTTGTTACTAAAGCTCTGTAAGGGTCTTCCAGTTCTTAGCTATTTTTCTTCTGGATTATACTACTGTTGGTCAGTGCAGTATCATGGACTATTGCCTGCTAACCCAGGGCCAGTTTTTGTGGGATACTGGCACCTACAAGATTTGTGCCAAGAAGAGCCAGAGCTTGCAGGTTCTCCAGGCTCTGAGCAGTCTTCTGTTACTTCCAAGGTTGTGTGGGAGTTTACAAGCAAAAATGACAGCTGCTGCCCAAAAGCTGTTCCCCTTAGACAAGTGCAAATGAAGTAAGGAGTGATGGAGGAAGAGTATGGGTGAGGAGTGTGAGATAAGATGCCCAGGTTTCTGATTTGCTAGATAATTTATTCTTTGAATCTTTCTTCCTAACTTTAAGCTTTGCTACCTTAGTCTTTGACACTTACCTGTTCTGTCTGAGGCATAGTGCTTCTAAATGCAATATATGCTTTGTAGCATTTATGTTATACAGCCTTTTTATTGTTCTGTGACAGCTTCACAGAAAGTATAACTATGTTTTTAATTAAACTTGACTTTTAAATCAATATCAAGTTTGGGGACATTAAGAAAAAAAAAAAAATAACTGCATGTAGCACACCCACAATGTGGTGGTTGTTGATTAGCTTATTCATACTTTTCATCTTAATTGCATGATCTGCATAATAATTACAAGCATGCGTGTGACTTAAATTTCTAAGTGTGCTTGCCATTCTCCCCCCCGCTCCCTGTCTCTCTCAAGAGCAACTGCATATTGGAGAAAACTTAAATGTTTCTGAAATTGGAGTGGAAACTTCTTGTGGGGGATTAAAAAAAGAGAAATACTAATGATGGAAATTTGCTTGGGCTATTATTAAAATTCTAGCTTGAAAGGGTCAGTGATGCAAATAACAGTGATTAGGAGCATATGGTATAATATAAGTAGTCCAGAAACATTTTGTATAAAAATGACTGTGTAAAGAAGCCTCTGCAAGGATTAATGTACTTTAAAGACTTCCATAAAAATCAGGAATAACAGTAGGCAGCAGATCATGGTGTAAGCTTCATTACATATTCTGCTTTAAATAGGGATGAGTTTGGGTCAGGGGAAATTCATTCTGGTTCAATTGTTCATGGGTATCCGAGAGTTTACTGTTTTATCTTACAGGGTACCCGTAGTTACAGGGAAGTGTCTGAAATGAGCTGCACATCTTGAGCAAAGAAATAGCTTTCCCTACATGTTCTGGACAATACTGACAGCCTAGGAAGTCAGTCTCTTTGAGGAGCTGGGCTGAAATTCACTCTGATGTAATGCCGCCTTGATAGAATTTAAAAGCAGAAATCCTGTAACACTGAAATCAATCTAAGTGCAATATGTCATCACGCATTTTTAACTTAATGAGATCCCTTCCAGTGCCCAAGGCTTGAGGGCTGTGATTGTTGGTGTGTTGTTTCTGATTGTCTTCAGAGGCATCTGCAGTAGCAGCAGTTGGTTCTCATTTAACATGAAATTTGTCTTATACCTGGCAAGACAGCAGATATAACATGAAGACTGTTGTCATCTCTAAATCTTGTACAGTTTTTGCTTAAGGAAAGTAACCACCTCTTCAGTGAAGTTAGTTGCTGTAGGTGTAACGTGAAGGGATGCTGCTAAGTCTGAAAAAGGAATTGCTTTTCTGGTGACACAGATGAGTCTTTTTGGAATTAGCACTTGGGACAAGTAGTTATCCCATTGTTTTTTCTGTTTTCTTTCTTGATGTCTTGTGAGTTCAGACTTGCTACCTGAATAGTATTTTTAGGTGTTTATTTTTAATCTCGGTTTTTAAAGAAAGAAAGAAACCCTTCTCTTATTTTTGTAAGTGGCAACTGTCAGAGTCCAAAATACTGAGTTCTAGCTATTTAGCCTATCTTTCTACACATCTAATTTTCCAAAAGGCTTTAAAAGTTAGTATTTTTTATTAAAAACTAATCCTCCTAAAATGGATTCATGTATGAATTTAGTCTTTTAATTAATTCTTGTTTTGATTAACTAAGTCTAAATTACTTCTGTTACACGGCCTGTCCAATGGAAAGAAAAATGCCTTGACCCTGTATAACTGTGTTTTGGCAAGCAGGCCTCCCTCATTAGTCAAATGATCTTTAGTGATTAGTAGACTCATGATTTTAATTTATTTCTTTTTTTTGGTGTAAGACTGTTTTCACTGAATCATAAGAACCCATAGATTACAACATCCTGCCTCTTTTCCTCTCAAGTTATTCCCATGACTAAAAAGGTTCATCTCCTTGAGGAGGTATCATTCCTGCATGTCTACAGGTTGTGACAGAACGGGCTTCCGTACTGCCTGCCCTCCAGATGCAGTTGTGAAATAAATAGTTAAATAATTCTGTGTGTGGTTATTCTACAGTGTTCGTGTGTGTTTAGATGGGCTTCTGGGTGCTTGCTGTGCAGGCAAGAGATGAAAGGCTTTTGGGTTTTGTTCTTTTTTTTTTTTTCTTAGTAATGTTGATATATTGAGATGGAAGGAAATTAAGAGAAGAATGGTTGTTATATTACTTAATTTTTTTTTTTTTAGTTGCTGTTGCATACCTGACTTCTGTAAACTATGCTGATTTCCTTACACAGGACTAGTGAGTAACGTGGTTTTCACAAGTCATGCTACAGAGCAGAAGCATCCACTCCTTATGCAACTGCAGAACCTTATCCGAGCAGCAAATCCTGCAGTTTCATTCATCTTGGCAGAAAATGGAGTTGTAACCAGGTAATGTTAATCAATACCCAGTATTTCTCACTTTTGGCAGGTGGGACACACAGACTTAGAAACTTGACTTCTCTTGTTTTACTCTGATAACTTCTACAAAGGAGATGCAGATTTTCCTTAATTGCTTCTCATGCAAAAGGTATCTTCTCTTTACATTTATGGTCATACAGAGATTAGGAAATGTATGCTTTTGTTTGCAGAGTATGATTTATGTTACTGTTATTGCCATACTAAGGGAGAAATACTCTGAATTTTACTGTGACTAACACATTCTGGTTTATGTAAGTAGCATACAGATAGTGGCCATTTTATTGAACTTATGAAATTAAAAATCTTCATCTTTATCTCTTTATAGGAACGAGGATATTGAATTAATTCTGTCAGAAAGCAGTTTCTCAAATCCTCAGATGATGAGAGCTCGATATTTAATGTATCCTGGCTGGCAAGTATCTAGACTGAGAAGTATTAAAACTATTTTTCTAATTAACTTGAAGATTAAAAAGTCTCACTAACTTAATTTATATTTTTTTCAAGGCTACTCATTTGGAACATGCAATAGCTTTGTAAATCATTTTTAAAAGAGAGCTGATGAGTATTCTTAGCAGATACACGATTGGTGTCCTTTTAAGGGGAAAAGGATCCTTTCTGGACACCGTTTAAATCAATGGGAAAGATTACTGTTACTTTTCAGAAGAATGGAAAAAAACCCCTCCGGGAATAAGCTGGGAAGGATTGGGATGGGTGAGGTCAATAACGACTAGAGTAATTTCATTCTGACAGCTATTCAGCCTTACTGGAATGAACTTGCTATGTCAGTCTAGCTATTAGCAGAACAATTATTCATAAAACCCATCAACCTTATTGACAGTCTTGGCAGAGGCTAAGGGCACAGTAATACATGGTACCAAGCTTTCCATTTAATACTAAGGGACATTTTTCATGGTTCGGGGTGCTCTACACATCTTGTTGCAGTTATCTGTGCTGCATCTATTTGGCAGAAAATGTAAACCTGTCAGCCATCGTAACTTCTGGCTGACTGTTTTCTAGTTACATTATGGTGTTGGAAGTACAATTTATTTACCATACCTTGCCAGTCCTGTATATGTGTATATCTTTCTATTCATAATTCTTGCTCTAAATTGGACACAAGTAGAGCTCCTAAAGTAAACTGTCACAAAGCTCGGGGTGTCAGAGCTGCTTGTGGATTGCGTGGAGGCAAAGGAAGAGCGAGAAAGCGGGAAAAAGTATTTAAAACTTTTGGACAACTGTTAAACTATGTGGTGATAGTATGCAAGGATAATATGTAAGGAAAAAAAAAAGAATGCAGCAGGAAAAGCATCAAAAGAAGCCCTGAGCATTTTTAACAGCCTAATGCTGTTAATATCACATTTTCATGCATGTCTTGGAGAAGGAAGCTTAGTATTTTTCTTCCTATGAGCAAGGGTTACCTGTGGTGAAATTATAGATGTTCCTTTTAAGAGGCCTGTTAGATGAAAAGCACAAGTGTGTGTGTTTCCTGTAAGTTGAAGCTGTGTGTTTGTTTTTGTCTTAAGGTATGAAGGTAAATACGGAGCTGGGTCTGTCTTCCCTCCAATGGTTCAGATCTGTGTATGGTTTAATCGTCCCCTAGAAAAGACACGTTTTGTGACCAAATGTAAAGGTACAAATGAACTTTGACTGACTTGACTTAAATCCAAGCTGGAAATACTGAGAAATAGAGGGGAAGGAAGGCACTGATGTAACACAGTTATTTAATTGCTGATGAAGTAAACTTTTAATTGAAAATTCAGCTTTCCTTCCTTAAAGGACAGTGAATTGTTGCCTTTAATGTACGTTCTGGAAAATTGATCTGTGATTTTGTTCAGATTAAAATCTAATTTAACACTTGGTTTCTAGAGACTAAGACACTTATCTACATATATTTGCTTTTCATTTTGTGTTTTATTTAGTAGTGTCAAAATACAGTTTAAAGTGGCTGTCAGCTTCTACTTCTTATGCCAAATAATTCTTTGTAGTTAGAAGAAGCTCAGCTCTCTGTTAAGCTACTAGAGTAGATATATAATCATGCCTTTCCTTCTTTCCTTAGCAAAGCAGTGTTAAGGAGCACCATTTTACTTTCCATATACACTGTAAGCGTTCATTATGCCAAACACATGTTATTTCCCACCTACCCCATAGCAAAGAAATGAGAACGGTTAGAAATGTTATGTAGTGGGGCTCTGGGGGACACTGCAGCTTTTTCCCCTGAAGCACTAGGATGTGGGTTAGAGACCTGTAGCATAGGTCTGACCAGAAGAGACACCAAGGATAAGAACAAGAAATGAAGTAATACGTTTATTTTCTATTTCAAACAGCAATTAAGTCATTGCTCAAGCCAAGTCCTTTTTCTGGAAACATTTATCACATCATGGGCAAAGTTAAGTTTTCAGGTAAGGGCAAATTACTACTTATGCTTTGTCTTGTGACTGTATTGCATGTATATGTATTTGAAATTTTTTTAATGTACTCTATTCTGCCTACACCAGTGTGTCAATGTTAAATTAGATTAAGAATTATCAATATGTTTTCTTCTTCCATCTTCTTGTTAGATTCTGATAAAGTGATTGAAGTCTGTCACAACACATCATCTAATTCATTAAGCCTCGTGCCTGTTCAGGAGGGGCCAACTCCTCCTGATTCAAGAAGCGATAACAGAGATTGCAGCAGTCAACAGGAGTGCTTCCTTGTATTCATTGGCTGCTCTCTTAAGGAAGAAGATATAAAAGACTGGCTCAGAGAAACTGCAAAACAGGTTCGTGGGCATGCTTAATTCTCCTCGGCGTGATCTGTTTGGCATTTCTTAATGGTGAGAGGAGGAACCTGAGTATCTCGATGAAATAATTTTCTTTTAAAATCTGTTTTCTCTTCTAGCCAGGTATTAGCATTCCAGGGTGTAACTGTACTTCAGACAGAGGACTAACAGTTTGCAAATGTGTATTGTAATTTGTGTATTATTTTAATATCTGCTACAGTGTATTTGTGGATTGATCTGCTTTTGAACGCTTGAGCAAATGGAGTACGTCCAGAATAAACACAATATGATTTAGCTGAAACGTGATTGCCAAAAGCTGAAGTGTAATATGAAATAAATCTTCTTGAAGTACCTGAACACTGCAAAGCTGAAAACTGTTTTGATTCACTAAATTAAAGCTCCTTGGAAGTAGTCCACTGAAATGGAGGGTGTAGTTTTTTTCATTTTGTCTCACTTAATTTGTCAAGTGTGCAGCTATGTAAGTCTTCATGTATTTCTGTATGGCTAATGTACCAATGCGATAGAATTGGAGTAGGGAACAGGAAATATGTACATCACAAGAAGCCTTTAAGGCACATTTTGCAGTTGTGGTTTCTTGCTAGCTTCACAGTGACTGGCATGACCTGACCAGGATAAGATAGTTTGCTGCTACACAGCGAAGTAGTACCGGCAGGTCTTACTTTTAAGGTCTTAGGAAATGAATTTTGAGACTTGATTGAGAAATGTACAGAAGCCATTCAACCATACAAATTGCATATTTTAGCACTCTAGTTGGAACCTGAGCCTATAGCTCCAACTGTGCCCTTTCGTGATGCCCATTTTGGAACATCTGTTAGTTAAAAATGCGGTTACTTCTTTATGGCTCAGGGTTTGCATGGTATCTCTAAAAAGTTGTGTAGGAAGGGAAAAAAGTTTCCTGCAGATCATTGTTGGAGTTGTCCCAAAGGATCTTCAGGTTCTCACCTCTGTTCTCCTAGCAGGTTGTGTTACTTCAGGGAAGTATACATTTTCTGTGGTGATAGCACATGGTAATATATGAAGACAAATGCTTTTGATGTGTAAGAAAGCACTCTGTGGAATACTATTTTAATTTTATGAAAGCTTGGAACTTAAATGCTATCTCAAGTGTGAAGTGCTTCCTCTATGAGCAGTTCAAGACTACAAACAGTCTTTGGACAGTCTCACTAGTCATGACTAGTTTAGGGTTTCAGATTGGTCTGAGAGTTGCTGCATAAAAAAAAAACAAAAAAACCAACAAACTGGATTGGTGGTCTTTTCCTGTGCCAGTTTTCTTTGGTTTTTGCAGTAGAGTTGTATTTAAATTGTATTATTTAAAATGCTTTTAGCATTTGTCATTTCTAACAGTGCCTTATGTAAGATCACTTAATTTTTACTTTTGTTTTCAGAACATAGTTGTGAATGCATTGATTTATAATTCAATAATTCTTTCAGGAAATTAATTTTTATAATACATCTACAAGGAGTATTTCTGGGCTGGGCTTGAGCATGTTTGCATGTAATCATAGATTTCATTACAGTTATCCACATTTTCAAGAACGAACTTTTCTGTTTAGTGGTTTGGGTTGTTTGTTTTTCTTAATGTGACTAAACTGTAGTATCATGTTATCACTCCGGTATCTAACTGGGGTCTGATTCTTTATACAGAAACCTCAGAGGAAAGCCCTGAAAACCAGAGGAATGCTGACCCTTCAGGAAATAAAAAACATTCATGTAAGTAGAAGCAATTAATAGCAAGTCCTTCTTTTGGCTGATTTTCTTAAATATCCATTTGTATGATAGAGCACCTCCCAGACTTGCACACATGTGCTAAGCACTAAATTGTTGTGGCACTTACTGTCATTTTATGTATACAAAACATAACTGAGGTTGTCCAGGAGAGATTTGAGAGAGAAATCTTGGTGTTATCTCAGAGCTTCAAGTTAGCCCTAAAAAGTTAGGGGGAGGCGTAGAGTATTGTGTATGCTGGCGGTTACTGTAATGGTCCTTCCTCATCTCTTCTCCCTTTTCTGTGTTGAGTGGTTTGTCACATGCAAATTAGAATCTCAAATGCCTAATCCTGCCCTCATCAACTACCTTGAGGTTGTAAGTGCTACCTCTAACGTAGGGCTCCTGAGAGTTTGGCAGGACTGATTAGTACCTTGAGGTTGTAAGTGCTACCTCTAACGTTGGGCTCCTGAGAGTTTGGCAGTCACTGTACGTAACTCCCCTAGTCCATATGGATGTCATTTGTCATACTGTTTTTTCAGAGTGCTCCTTTATAGCCAGGAGCCATACCTTCCTCCCTGGCTCTGAAGTTCAGCAGAAGGAATTTTTCTTTTCTCTATTTAAGTCTGTTAGCACTGTCTCTAAGCGGTTTTGAGTTTTAAATGTTTAATGTATGGTATATTCTTTCTTAATGTAGGTGAAACGCCACTTGGATCCACTTCCAGCTGGTTATTTTTACAACGGGACTCAATTTGTGAATTTTTTTGGTGACAAAATGGATTACCATCCATGTATCCTTTAAAATGTGGGGTTTTTTTGCGAAGGTTTTAGATAGGCAACAGCCTATGTAAATCTGAAATGTAGGACTGTTGAAGCAGATGATACGATGAAAAGCTAGTTTGATTTGCAGGTGGTAATATGAAGTGAAAAGTTTTGTTCCTTAAATTTGTGTGTGGTTACTTGCCATTTAAAGCTTACTGTTAAAACACTTTTTCAGAGATACGATCTAAGAAGCAGAATAGAACCAATGAAACAATCCTAAAATCATACATGAGCTCATGCAGAGAATAATTTATATACCACAGCTTCTCAAAGAAATATTTTTCAAATCAAATAGTGCTATAATATTGCTTAATGCCTGGTCATGATTGATAAAACTTCCAAATAAATGTTATTTTGTGTGCACGCACATGCATGTGCACACTCAAGTAGAAATAGTCAGGATAGGTTTAACTACAGTATCCTTTTTTTCTGCCACATATTTTGCAGTGAAGCTGATGTTAAATGATTGTTCTTGTTTTATAACTCGATATTAGAAAAACCTTATTGCAATTGAATAAAAAATAAAAAAAAACCCTATTGCAATGCAGTAATATGAACAGAGTGTTCACAATTAGGTGTGGAGATGCATTTTTTGGTAATCACTTCTTAAACTCACTAAAGCAAGTAAAACCTTATTTTAAAACTACTTCAGCTTAGCAAGCACTATGATTTCCTTATCGAAATTATGGCATATGCACATTTGTAAATTAAATGTCCTTGTGGTCTTGTTTGGTGTCAATTTACAGTACATGAACTACAGCTGAAGTAGGGTCCTCTAGATTTCTTTCCAGAAATACTTTTTATTCTTTGATTTAAACCTGATCGTATTTTTGCCTTTGGCAAGAAATGCCAGAGTAATACTGATGTTCCAGTGTATTCCTCTTCTTCTTTCTTGTTTTCATAACTTCCTATAGCTTTTGGTTTTGTTTTGTAACTGAAATTCCAGATCTGGTCTTAGATTCCCAGTTTACTTGTCACTTGAACATTGACAAACTTTACAGAAATCCAAATGGGTTCTGTGATTCTGTTTCGAAATATGAACAACCAGTTATTTTCTATGCCATATGGGCATACTGGCAGAAAATAGCCCACCAGCAAACTTGGACTTCAATATTCATAGGATCTCTATTCCACCACCATCTTGGCATTTGGCAGTAAAAACCACAGGCACTGGTTAACCACTTCTGCATGATTTGAATTTTGGGCAGAGTTTTTTAGACTTCCACTTAACCAAAATAGCTGTAAACATCTGCAAACCTGCTGTAGTTTTGCTGTTCCTATATTCTTCCTCGTGATTGGGAAATGTCTATTGTGCAACTCCTTTATTCCCCAGTAATACAGAGTAGTTGTGGTTAGGTCTGGCTGGGGGACTCCCGGAAGGTAATATATTGAATTTCTGCTTTTAGTAAGTGTCCCTGAGCCGGCACATCCTTCAAAAAACCCATACGTTCTTTTCTAATGAATGCTATTTGCACAAATGTTTTTCCTTAGTTTTTCAAAATCAGTAATGGACCAATTCATGAATGATTACTTGGAAGAAGCCAACAGGGAAATAGAGAAGTACAACAGAGAACTAGAAGAACAGGAGTATCATGATCTCTTTGAGCAGAAGACATAAGCATGTGCGTTCTGTGTATTTCTGAACCGCCTACTGTCAGTAACCAAAAATGCTGTTGTCCTTGCTGGTTAACTAGAAAATTAAGTGAAATGTCAGTTTTCAGCACTCCTTTTAAAACTATGAGATCATTCCTGTAAGGTTGGCATTTTAATATGGTAACTGCTTAGCTTGTTTGTACTGTCAGGTTCGCTTCCACTTCACCTTAATTCCAGACTGTAAAAAGCATCACCTGGAATCTCTGGCTAGTAGTGGAAACTTATTTAAAAGAAGAAGAAAAGAAGCAAAACTGTATTTCCTAAGAGGTCAGAATGTAATCATGGAATTGGTCCGTTGTGCAGATAACCAAACCACTTTAATCTCTGGGTATCCCTTGAAACTTGTTGCACAGGAGCATTGATGAGCAGTGGTATAGGTCAGTGTGTGGGATTGGGGGATGTTCCTAAAGCGAGAAATGGGGGAACATTTAAAAAACTCAGAAGGGTACCTAATCCCACAGCTGCTATGGTGTTCCCAAAGCGAGAAATGGGGGAACACCTGAAAAACTCAGAAGAGGACCCAATTCCACAGCTGTTGGGGTGTTCCCAAAGCGAGAAATGGGGGAACAATTAAGGAACTCTGAAGAGTACCCAATTCCACAGCTGTTGGGGTGTTCCCAAAGCGAGAAATGGGGGAACAATTAAGGAACTCGGAAGAGGACCTAATCCCACAGCTGTTGGGGTGTTCCCAAAGCGAGAAATGGGGGAACAATTAAGGAACTCTGAAGAGGACCTAATCCCACAGCTGTTATGGTGTTCCCAAAGCGAGAAATGGGGGAACACTTAGGCATCTGCATTTTTCTGAGGGGACAGCGTGTCTCATAACCTCTGCACAGTTTGAATCTGCAGTGAAAATTCTGACTCTTTCATCCTTTTCTTTAGAAAAGTGGAGATACCTTGCTTTCTTCCCAGTGTTTTTATTGGTATTCTAGAAAATATGACACGGATGGAGTTAATCTGCAACTTGCTATTAAGAAGATTATCTCTGAAGGATTCTTAGTTCAGTACTAAAAACTAAGTAAAGCAAGAGAAGAGGAAGATTCTTTAGCTAAAGAATTCCTTTTCGTGAAAATGACTTATTTCCAAAGGTAAAAAAACTATCAGAAAATATACTTGAAATATGAAAGAACTTGTTTGTGAAGCTTTCAGAAGACTTTGCGTGCCGTAACATTTCACTATACTAATACACCAGGTTTTAAGTACTTGCAACAAAACCTATATAGTTACTAAATGATATTGTAATAGGAGTTCTGGGAACTTGTCCTCTAACTTAATTTAGCACAATTTTAAGTGAGACTTCATAGATCACTGACTCAAGGATTATAAGGTACCCTAGCATCTACTTAAAGGTAATTATTGAAGCTTATTTGAATAAGCAGATTATTGTAGCATGCTGTGTGTTCAGAATTTAGTCAAGTGAAAACAGTCCAGGAGGATTTTTTTATTTTCATATTCCTTTGCCTTAGGAACAGCTTGATCTTCTAATACAACTGCAACTTTTCTTTTTGGTCAGATGTATGTAATGCAGTAAGAAATTGAATGAGTAATTTCTTACAGTACACTTAAAGTACTTAGCACGTCCAACACGGTCTCTGCAGGAAAAAGAGATTTAACTCCTGCCATCAAACCTAAGGCTAGATACAGTTTTATGCCTTACTTAAGAAATATATTTTTTACCTTTGGAATCTGAAATGGCTGAAATTACAAAAAGCCTGTCAAAAACTGAAACGCCTTTTAGGTAGACTTTCAGTACACATTGCTACTAGCTGGCTCGGTGCCTGTGCTGTGGTGATTATACAGGGCAGAGGTGGAATTCCAGGTGCTGCAGATTAGGATATAGATGTTGATAAGGTTTCGTTACTAGCTTTCCTACTAGATTTTAAAAAGCTGTCTGAATTTAAGACATATAATTTTTTTTTGCACACCACGAGACTTTATAAACTACTTGTATCCTGTTAAAGTACAATAAAAGCCAGCGATTAGTTGTGTTTCTAGGCTTTCTGGGGTAACCCGTGTTACAGGTATAGAGCATCATGATAAGGCTCGTGAGTTTATCTATGCATGGCTATACTTTAGTCTTAATATACTGTAGTGCCTGGTAGAGTAAACGTAGCTAGCAGTGGATTTGGGGGGCTAGCAGGTGTTTACAAACTAAGTACAGTTGGTTGCATGAAACTATTTATCAGACCAGGATTATTAGAGTACAAAATTCTGGTGTTAACACTGCAATATGAAGGGGCATTAGAAAATTCTTTAAAAATTATAGTTCTTTGCCAATAAACTTAGTGTAAACCCGGTGTGCTCCTTTTCAGTACAAGTTATCTAATCTGCAAAGCCATATTTCTAGAATAGTTGGTATGACTACGTAATGTCAGAAGAAATACCGGTGGCTGGGATGGCAGGCACCTCGTTGATGCTTCGTCTCAACCTGTGAGTTAATAACAGAGTAGGTTTAAGTGCAATTGAACGATAGATGAAGATACTGTAGCTTATTTTGCTCTGCTGAACTTTTTTTAAGAACTCCAATTTGTGCAGCTCTCAAAAATAAATGTTGATGGGGCCAATTCATCTGGGCTTGTCGTAGCGAGTTGTAATTACATGTGAGATGCCCTGTGAACAAAAAGGAAATAAGTATTCAAAATTGGCATGCTACTGTGCAAATTGAGCTGTTCCTTAAAAACTGAAGCAGAAGAGCTCAGAACAAAGGCCTAGTATACTTATATACTGTATTGCATGCTATATGGTAATAGCTGTGTATTATAAAGACCTTTCACCATACTGGTACTATTTCAATTAATATATTTTGGTATTGAAATCATTTGATTACCTCAATTTTTTTTTTATTTTTTAACTGTGACTTTGAAACAGAAAAAAATACCGAAATAGTGAAACTGTGACAATGGTATCCTTTAAATGTAGTAGTGCCTTGCAAATGACACCATTCATTCACGAAGCATAGAATAAATGGATGTCATGGGTTGTATTGCTTGCACCCTCTTTTCTTTTAAAGGAAAAACAGTTTTGGTGAAAGGACTTAAAATTAACCTAGTGAAGAATATTAGCACAAATGGTTAAACTGTTTAAAAGAAAACTCTTTGAGGACTAAAATGTGTAAATGCCTGATGCTGCTGACAGTTTAATAGCAGTTGCTGATTATTTTGGAGTTACTTCTAACAATCAGCAGTACTTTTTTTAGGAGAAGAGCATAACTTTTGTACTCTGGTCAGAGATGTTTATACTGTATCAGACCCCATCTGTAGGGTAATCTGGTTTCCTCACTTTTGGAGTTGAGGTGAGGATTGAGATACTTCTAAGGATCTAGTTTTGGAATTTTTTTTAGCTACTGTAAAACTAAAAAAAAAAAAGCACCATTTCTAAACCACAAATGTTTGGATACAGAAAAAGTGCCATTACACTGTTCCTTTATCTTTTACTGTATTTTGAAAATTGGTAACAGTAACTTTGTGTCCAGGCATTTCTGATATTGTGAAGAAGTGCTGAGAGTCCTCAAGGGGTTTACATGCTTTGCTGACCTTCATGTTAGCGGCTTGTGGTGGTGTTTTTTTTTTTTTTCCTCACCGAGAATGAGTGTGATCAGAAGTTACTGAAGTTATAGGGAGAAAAATGTGATAAACTTAAGAGAGGAACGTTTGCAACTTGAACTGCGCTGCAATCGCTGAGTATTTTATATTAAGCTGTGCAATTTGGTATTAGTCCAGTTTTACACTTTGCAATTAACAGAAGTGATTGCAGGGACGATTTAAGTTGCATATAAAAGTTCCCTAATAAGTTTTTTATTGTTATTATTTTTTAATTGAAACTTTTCTGAATTTGCACAGATTTAAGCTCTGGAATACTTTGGTATTCTTAAAAGGGAAAAAATGTAACTAGTATAGTGAATTGTAAACTGTGAGTTGTTAGAACCACGTTGTTGATCTAATTTTAGATTGTTTAAAAATGTACCTCAGAAAGCTAGTGAGAAATTGCTTCATTTTTACACAACAGTCAGATCCTAATGTAACACTTCTCACTTTACAATGTGCCAAAATTCACTTTTATACTAGTTCTCAATGCTTTAATATTTGCAACTTTAAGTTAAAAACTTGTATTTACAAACACTACTGTAACTTCAGTTAAACTGAACTGTGTGATTGAAGCTTTTTGCCTGTTGTATTTATTACACAACTTGATTCAGTAAATATAAAATTACCTTTCCATTTATTTTTGTATTGTTTTACATGTTTATACCTGCAGTTTGTGTGACTTTTACACCTGTAACTCAGATGTGATGGAAAGAACCAATAAACAGTATCCATCTGCTGTCTGTCTCTGACTTGTTTAATAAACTCACTATTTCCTAAACTTAAGTCTTTAAGTTTTGGGCAGTTTTCTTTTAAAATCTGTTAGTTTTCTAAACTGGCAGAAAGGTGACTAGTTTATATTCAAACTAAAATGTAAAGATTTACGTTGGTTTTTTGTTTGTTTGTTTGTTTTTTTTAAGCTGCTGTTTTACATTTAGACCTTCTTCCTTGGGCTTCTAATTGGGTAAAACTTGGAACTAGTTGTAGGATGAAGGATATTAATGAGGTTCCTGCCTGCTCTCTGTCCTTCAGCAGCTGTATGTAAGCATAAGTTGATAGTTGCATATACGCAAATGCAGGAGCTAAATCCTGCTCCCTGTATTCCTATAAATGAGGATGCAGTTTCAAGATCAGCTTCTGCTGACCTAAAAGCAGGCTGCCTTTGAGAGGGCAACCCCACCTCACCCTCCTTTCTCTGCCTTGGTCACTGGGTGGGAGGCTGTGAGCGAGTCAGATCAGTTTGCTGATTAAACTGGATCTGCAAATGATTTCTCTCAGTTTGACAATGCTTGTGCATTTTTGTTTTGGTTTTTTTTATAGGAAGGTTTTGCGCTCCATTGATTTTTACGAACTGTTTATGTAAAGCCAGCATGTTACACGCAGCCTGGCTGGCATGCTCTGGGTATCCACACAAGAAATAGCATCCTCTGGTGCATGGACTTCTGACAAATCCAGGAGTTTCCCTTGCTTTGCAGCTAGTTTTGGAAAGTGTCCTCCACCTGTAAATGCTCTTGGGTTGCATCTGCTGCTTGTGAACTGCCGAGCATGTGCCCTTTCCTTTGATGTTGTGTTCCTCACCATCAACGCAGCACTAAGCAACCTCAGTAGCGTTAGGTAGGGATTGTCTGAGAGAAGCAGCCAGTCATTGCTTTGCTGTTAGACTACAGACCCCACAAAATAGTTCCTGTGTCAGCTTTGCCAAGAGCATCCGGATCCTGTTCCTGCTGTCGTGTGGGCACTTGGTGTCAACACAAGGCTCTGGGCTAGATCTTAGCGCTGGTCACGTGACCAGGAGGGTTCCACCATCCCTCAGGTGCTTGAGCAGGGAAATCTAGAGTTTGGGCCCATGGCTTTACTCATGTCTTTCCATGCAGTCTTTCTTAAGATGCTCTTCAAATGTTGCTAAGTTCGTGAAGGTCAATGCAAAAAAAGCAACTTTATTACTTTAAGTCTGCAGAATAATCTTTTGAGTGAGAATTCTGCTCTTTTCTCTGGTGTGTAGCTCTGTTCACTGCCTTTGCCCTGGTTTCTGTGTCTTCTGTTCACTTTGGATTTTCATGGTTTAACCTGAGATCATTTTGTGGTTGATTATTAAAATGTAAAAGTCGTTATCTTACTAGGATTTTAGGAGATGTTCTTTGCAAAGAAATGCTTTTATAGGAAGGCTACAGAAATTAGACTGTCACCTCGGTACATGGAGTTCTTTGGAGCTGTGGCTGGGAGGAGAGCATCTCTAGAGTGCTGTTCATATCAGCCCTTTTAGCTTCAGCGTAATGAGAAGAACACTATTCTAAGTGTTTGTGATTAATTTCTGTAAATTATTATGGGATTTTTTTCAAGAAGAGAAGTTCCTTATGAGACTTGCTGGAACATTTGGTGGTGGAAACCACTGGCTTAATTATGGTCCTTTCCATGAACATGACATGGTATGAAGTAATCATTTTGGGCTGAATTCAGGACGCTCTCCTCCAGAAAAAACATGAATTCCAGCTTTCTTGTGTCCCCATGTGATACAAGGCATGCATTCAGTTGCAGCCTCGAGGTGCAGCTGGCCATGCTGGGCACTTAACGAAGTTGAGAACTCGAATCTGTCACTTTGCTGCCTTCATCCAAGTACACGCTGCAGACGTCAGCCCTGGGCTGAACAGAGGCGTATTATTGCAACAGAGGTGTCTGGAGAAGGTTTAAAAGGAGAAAATATCACCTAGAAATGCAGGGTGAGTTGATTATTTTCATTTTTTGCTTTGCAGATAGCAGTTTCCGTCTCCACAGTTGTATTAGTTGTGAACACTTGTTATGGACCATAAAATTTGTTGTGGGAAGCTTTTAGAGCCAGCACTGCTTTAAATAGAGGGCTTCTTTACATGCTCTACCAGCTACTGATCCCTCTGTTTCCTATGACTCCTGATGTGCCTTTCTACTTGCAGCTTTTCACCCCCATGTAGTAATTCTGGGATGCTCCATTCTATTGGATTATTTTTCCATGGCAAAAATAAAGGAAAATAATTTTTCTCCATTCCAAGAATATTTAGCTTAAATCTTTCCAAAATGGGTGGTCATAATTGATAAGCTTTGAATCTGGCCCGATGGACCAGCAGTGCTTACTCCACAGAGACGAGTTTGATTCTTCTCCTGGGGGCCTCAGTTTTGTGAACGTTTACTGACGTAGCTCCATGAGGAGGAATTCCAGGGGGGTTTCACATGTCTCCCAAACTATGAAGCTCCATAAAGAAATTGTGCAAGAAAACAACGTTTGGGGGAAATTCCTGATAATCCAGCTTGGAAATCATCTAGTCTGTTGTTGTGTTACAGGATCAGAGGAAATACCTTTGCATTTGTGCGTGAGCAGTAAAAAATAAAGAGCAGTAAAAGCTTTGAGCAGGAGGGCACAGGAGCTGTGATGGTTTTACCTGCTCCAGGTTTTAACCTTCGTGGCCACCCGGAGGGTACATTGATGGTGCTGGCTCAGTGCTGTGTCTCACTCGCTGCAGCCTCCACTCTCTGCCCTCGTGTTAGGCCCCAATCTGCAGCTTTCTTCTTTAGGCTGAGGCTGTTGAAATGTCAATTTATTTTTAGCAGCCGAAACTTCAGAGGGAGAGTGTAACGTTTAAAATATTGTGAACGCTCTTAGAAACTTGTCGTTCTTACAGTCTCCTTTTTTGGACCCAAATGGAAAGGTCGAAGAAGGTCTCTTCTCTGATACAGCTCCTGTAACGGGCTGTGCGGGTGCATCCTTTTCCACTTAAGTTTTAAGTGTCTAATTCTTCTCCCCTCCCTCATACTCCACTTACTCTGCAGCAGAATCAAACTTTCCAGCTAATGTATATTTACTTTTCTCATGCTGCCATTTAGCTTCAAAAGGTATGGCTTCAAAAGGCTCCCATTCCTCCCCAAATCCTTCTTCCAGTCCCCTTAAACTTGAGGGTTTCTTTCCTCCTCTTCCCATCAAAGGAGGATCTCCAGGCATAACTCCGCATCTCCCTACTTCAACTTCTGTCCTTACATTTGTCCCTTGCAGATGGGTCATCTCATCTGGTGGGATCTGCAGGCAGAGTGAAGGTGGAGCTTGGGTTGCTTAACCCATAGTGTGGATGCTAGAAGCTGAGCCCCAGGGTCCTGGGCTTTGTCTGCTTCCAAATTTTGACAGCTGAGGGACGTTTATTTACATAATGTGTCTTACACCCACATTTCAGTGCTGGCATGGAGAACATAACAGGTAATATCTCTGTTTAGGCTGATCAGACAAGATCAAGCTGACACTCTCAAGATCTTCTCTGCCTTAAAGAAAAAAAATCTTACAATTTAGTTTAGTTTTGTTTGGTTTTTTGTTTTTTTCCCTGGTCCATAGTAACTTCTTACCGCCCACAGACATGGATGAAGTGATGCACAGATGGGTGTACTAGGAGCTGCAAAATTTCATTTAGGAAGAACCTCATGAGGTTAGCTGGTTTGTCCCTCTTATCACTCAGACTGCTCCCTATGAACTTGAGTTTCTCCTTCAATAGCTCCTTTTCCAGGCAAAGGAAATATGGAAGATCTCATCTGCCTGAACTTGCACAATATATCTGTTTACAAGATGGAAAGCTGTTAATATGGGGACAAAGGGCATTGGTGGAAGAGTCACAAGGTCAGTCAGGAATTACCTGAAGGTCTGATGAGGGTGGTCAATGTTGCAAGGAGAATTGGGCTGAGGGAAGGTTACATGGTGGAGCTCATGCGGAACACGTGCAGTGAATAATTTTAAGAAAATTATCTTAATCACAAGAAGTTTTGTACGGTAAACTTACTGAGAAAGTAAAGTGCAGAGGACTTTTATAGACAGAAGAGGATCAAGAAAATGTGGAGAATGAAGTGGAGGTCCGAGGGGTACCACTGAAAATCAAATGAAGATGTTGAGAAGAGGGATTTGAGCTTATATTACTCAAGGAACCAAGCAAGAAAACCTGAATGTGAGGCCAGTGCAAACTGAAAAATGCAAATAGGTTATGGGAGGTGAATGGTGCCAGAATTTCCAGTGTGGTTAGGGATGACCTAGACACTTACAGATCACTGGGATAGCCTGTGCTTTTCAGGTCACTTGTGATTGGAAAATAAATACTCCAAAAATGTGTAAGCAAGAGTGACTAGGGTGGATGGAGCTCCTGTCTCATCCGCAGACACTGGAAGTGAGCCTTGTTTTGCCTGACATCAGAGGGGCCATGCAGTGGTCAAGGGAGAACGCAGATTAGATGCTGGGAGGAAGGTCTCGAATGGTGGGTACATTGTGCTCCCTTACTAATAGGAGTAGCTGAAATGCAAAACCCTCACCTCATGTAAAGCTTGAAATGTTTTGCAAGGGAATAGATAATGGGGATGCTTGCTTGGTGAGTTTCATTTCCTAAGAGAAATTAGTTAGGTTTTCTCAGATAAATCTGAACACGTCCCTTGAGTCAGCGTTCTTTTAAGCCTGTTCTTTGCTCTCAGTTTTATCTCTTCCTTTTTGATAAGTCTAGTAGTATCTACAGAGGTTTCTAGTTCTGCTTAGCTCTTCATGAGCTCCTCTGTCTTCCAATGTGAATTGATCTGGAATTTGTTTGCCTACGTGTTTGCAGACAAATGGTGCCTTGTTAGGTTCATAAATTGCTAGCCTAATTAAAGAAATGAATTCACAACAGGAATAGCATGAAAATGGAGCACTTGTTAATTGAATAGACCTGGGTTCGGCTCCCATTGTACACTTCCAACAAGGTGCTTGTGTGATCCCTCCTATTGAATTTGCTTAAAATAAACCTTCAGGGTAGTTTGAT